GTGTTTCCGTAATGCCAACCATATGACTTCACGGGCACCTTATCGAAAGCTTTTTCCAGGTTCAGGAAGGCTGCATGCAATTTCTTCTGCTTCTCTCTATATTTCTCCATCACTATACCAGCGGAGCGGATTGCGTCAGTTGTACCTCTCCTTCCACTAACCGCACTGTTTCGGTGACAACTCTATGACATCTCAAGGCGAGTTTCGATTATTCGCTCGAAGATTTTTAGAGTGTAGTACACTTTGGGAAATTCGAAATTTTTTCGAATATTCGAATATCGAATAATATTCGAAAATCGAAATCCTCGAATATTCGACTATCGAATACTATTCGAAAATTGAAAACTTCGAATATTCGACTATCGAATTTTGTTCGAAAATGGAAGTTTTCGAATCGAATAATATTCGAATATCGAATACCATTCGATATTCGAATTTCGAATGTTATTCGGTTTCTCGAATAAAATTCGATTTTCGAATATCATTCGATTTTCGAATACTATGCGAATAATAAATTATGTCATTGAGAGTACCTGTGAGAGACCGAAACATCTCAGAATAAATTTTTTCAGGTATAGACATTTTTTTATGTTTCAATTTACGACGAAAAAACGGTTCAGTTGCAGCCCCGGCAAGAAGATGGGTGCCGGATTGTGACGATGTTAAAGTAGTCTCCCCCCACCTAAGCGATGACTGATGTTCGGAGCGAAAAAGGTGGCTAACAGGCCTAAAATTGCCCCGTAAGTGGCCCGGATCTTACGGTAGGCTCGTGAGTACGAGATGCATGCAGGGTAAAGACGCAGGGTCGTTGCGGGACTCTGCACTCATGACTGTGTGCGCTATGCGTTCTCTGGCTTTGCGGTTCGAATTCGCTGTACGGGCGGCATTCGGGCCTGCCGTAAGACGGGCCACTTTGGGAGCAATTTTCAAGCTTACCGAACCTCTTTTTCGCTCCGAACTTCGTCACCGCTTTAGGGGGTCCAATTTAACATCGCCACAAATTCCCGGACCCATCTTTTGGGACGCTGCCTTTAAGAACCTAAAAGCGTACGTGACCGTTGTAAAGGAATTTCAAAAATCAAAGAAGATTATTTATCCTCATTGAGAGTTGTGGACTGACATACAGGGGTCCCAACAGTATGTGAATCTGTCTGACATCAACCTAGACTTACAGTATGAAACGATGTATCGATCACTTTTGACTGTTGTAAATTACTGTAGGAAAACTGAGTAGGGTTTTGAGATATCAAGAGCCGTTTGCCCAAAAATGAGAAACAAAAAGGCCGATCTTACACTAGGCTTCTAAAGACGCTCACTATATAAAGAATTTGTACTCAACCGTAACGCCTTTTGCAACTTATGCCAGATACACCATAACAGATGTTTTCCAACGCTTTTCAAATAAGAGAATGCACGTTTAAAAGGCTTGAAAGCCCGTGCGTAGTTAAACATACGTAAAATCCTGCTACATACATTTGAAATCTCTTTTTTGTTGGAGAAACTCTTTTGGATGTCTCATTTCGCAGTTGCTTTATATGCTAAGTACATACCGTGATAACACAACAAGAAAAACATAGGTGATTTGCTTTCTGCTGTATTTGTAAGCTGAAGCCATCCCTACAGGATGTCACTCAAAGGTTAGACTTCGTAAGAGGTATTAGCGACTGAACAGTTTGTACATAGCCTTGGGACACCCCATATATGTTGTGGATATCGAATTTCCGAATATTCGATGCTTCGAATTTTCGAATAGTCAATTCTTATCGAATTTTCGAATATTCGGTGCCTCGAATATTCGAATATTCCATGGATATCGAATGATCGAATTAATGACCATCGAAAATTCGACTTTCGAATAACATCCGAAAATGAAAATTTTCGATATTCGACTGTCGAATATTATTCGAAATCTCAGATTTTCGAATACTCGAATTTTTGAATCATTCGCATTCGAATGATTTATTCGAATAATCGAATAAGGGTGGGGGACATTAGGTCGCCGAAAAAGGGCGGTCCCCGCGGTCATTTGCGACAAATACGCACCCTTGTACATGCGCGGACATGCGTTCCTGCAGGGAATCCGCGCGGGACTGTTCCAAATTCGGCGACCTAATGTCCTCCACCCATCGAATAATCATTCGATTCGGTCCAAAGTATAGAGTGTAGCTCATCAGTCGCATGAGCTACACTCTAAAAATCTTCGGTGCGGTAGGATGCGCAATCTGCCGGCGTTCTCCGGCCTTGGGGATTGCTGAGGAGGCTAGAGCGGAGATTCCCGCAGCCGAGTCGCGTTTAGCTGCCTGGGCCAACCAGCCGAATGCCGCCAAGATGAGCGGTGTTACAGTCTCCTGCAGCCATTCACTATTTGGCAGGATTCTCCGCTCCGGCCTCCTCAGCAATCTCCAAGGATGGAAAACGCCATAAAAAGCACTTTCTTTGAGTTTTCAATTACAGCTCTGGTCTGAACGCACCGAGAAGGCCAGGGAGTAACAGAAAGCGCTCAGTTGCAATTTTTCCGAGTCACTGCCTTTAACCTCAAAGATTGAACCTACCCTCAAAGGCAGTGGCTCCGCAAATTCTCGACTTGGAAATTTTTTTGCTTACCTGGAGTAATTCGAGGCGCTGATTCACCTTGAAGAGCGCGAAAATGGCAAGGACCACCATCCTCCAAGGCCTCCCATTTTAAATTTGGACGAGAGGAGCACGTCCCGCCTTGGTTAGAGAGCTAGAGTCGTTGCGGGACCCACGCAGTTATAACGTTGCGGCATGCCTTCTTGGCGGGTCGGGAAGAATAGCAAGCTCGTCCGCGCGTATTTGAATGACTTGCACGTAACGGGTTTAGGGGCAGTTTTCTAGGTAAGGGAGCGTTGTGCGCTCGAACCTGGTCTGTTCTCATGTTTGGCGTGCAAATAACTAGCCTTTCATGTCAAAATTTCGGATTCGGTTTTGGCAAGCTGCTGCCTTTAAGCCTCCCTGTGCTTCGTGAATACGGGTTTTATGCATTCTGAGGTAAAAGTTACCCTCAAGGGCAAGGTTCACCCTCAGGGGTCGTTGATGAATGCGGTCACAGGGTCTCTCGCCACTTCTACGAGCATACCATATTCTATCAGATCAATGCGTCCACGCGTACATTCTCAGACAATTCTGCGCGCAAGCGGCGCGCACTCACGGCCAGCAGGGCAGGCGGCGGGCCGTGATTTGTGGGCGTGGCCTTGCACCGCACAGGCGGCGCGCACTGATTTCAGCGAACAGGCGGCGCGCAATGCATGTTCGCAGGCGGCGCGCAGACACAATGTGCGTGCAGGCGGCGCGCAATGAACTTTCTGTAGCTTCACGTAAGCGAAGGAGGACGCTGCTTCCGCGCGCAAATGCAGAATTTTTTGCAGATAATTGTTTCTCCTCGTTGTATTGTGTTGTTTATTACCTCACTTTTACTCTGCTGTTTCACCTCTTTTTTCTGTTTCTAAATTGTTTTGAAATCAAGTATGCGATTTTTTTTGCCTTTTTTAGCACGTCTTCTTTTATTTAATCCATATTCACTCTTGTTTCTCAGTCAGTTTTCCATATCTTTTATCCTACCTCTGGTTCCTAATCATATTGACCCCGTGACACAGGGACGCTCATTTTCAATCAATAAGCTTTCTTGCGTCGTTGCGCCTCCTTCGTTTCTTTCCGTTGCTATTTCTTTCTCTTCTTTTTTCACAAGATAAAAGCAAAGTTTGATTCAGGTCACAACTGTCTTAGTACAATGATGGCTATGTGCGAATGCCGAAAAAAAGTCGACCTCAAAAGAGTAAGTCTTGCTTTTTGAAGCCAAAGTAGGCATTTTGTTTAAAAACATTATTGTGTTTCAGCCACCGATCTACAATGGCTCCAAATACCAAGATTCAAGACAATTTATGGTCGTGGTACCTCAGCCCTGACTTTATTTATCTTAAAGAGGTGAAAAAATGCATTTTTTTCAGCATTCGTCAATATTTATTGCTTTTTCACTTCAGTTTGTTAATAGCGTGTATTTCAGCGCCACAGCATGCGCCTAGACCGATCGATGGAATCAACTCTTGATAAAACAAAAACCATTACGAGAACTAACGAGGACGAGGCTGATCCAGATTATTCATGTCTTAGATTTGTTCATGTCTCATCATTCATCCCAATTTTCATGCTTATACCCATCATATCTCCGTCATCCAATTGTTTTATTCCTGTAATTGAATTGAGTATATGAATTCCAGGAGCATTCTATTCTGGCTGATCAAGCATGCCCGCGTTTTGTTCATTGCTATCGCATTTTCATATTTTATTCCTCTAAATCTGTACATATATTATGCATTCATATCTATGTATACTGTTCAGTTTATTTATCAAAGTACTTGGTGATTTTACTGACAGTTATTTCAAGTTATCTCGTCATACTGTTGCATTAGTTACTATCAACTTCATTGTATTCATTACTTCATACACACGTCTTGTTGATATCACATTTGAATGTAAATACCTTGTTGTTGTACTTTAAGTTTGTGAATTTTGTAAGTACTACCTAAGCTAATAGTATTGAATGCCAGCTGTCAAAGACAGCCTTATCCTGTAAATACTGTATTTTGTGGCAATTTGTGTTAAAACCTGTCAGATTTGAAAATTGTAGGTATTATTCGTTAATAAAGCAGTTGTGAAACCATATTGTCCAACAAGCATAAGATATTCAGACCGGCAACAAAAATCCGAGCAGATTCCTGCCAAAATTTCCCTCGTAGCGCGCAGGCGGCGGGCCTTCAATCCATAGGCGGCGCGCACTGCACACACAGGCGGCGGGAAGGTACATCGCTCGCTGATTCAGTGCGCGCCGCCTGCGCGCAGATTTGTCTGAGTTGAGACCGTGCAGAGCACTCCCAAATCTATACATACGGTGGAGAAACCATACGCAAACGCAGAATGTAGACGTGCAAAATCTAAAATTCGCGGCAGCTAGCCCAGTGAGCGTCTAGTGTGCAATTGCACATCATAGCGGCCACATTTTTTGCTCGATCACCAGATCAGCTGTGCTTGGAACGTCCTTCCCCGTCTTTGCTGAGAGTAACAACTGTTTAACGTGTTAGTTTTTATTTATGGGAAAGCCTATAGCGTTGCAAGAATGATTTGTCTATTTTCATTACCTATATGCCGTGGGCTCTCTACGGAATGCAGGTTTTATAAGGAAATCGTCTATCTATTTTGACATATGTTTGTTGAGGCGCTACGATATATGTGACAGGGTAGAAGATTCATAATTTTCAGGGTTAAGAATATGCTGCTAGGACTCATTGTGCAACGTTGCGGTAAAGATTTCAAGGTCTACAGGCAAGTGCATATAGACATTCTGAATTTCCATTACGTGGAAAACCCGAGAATGCCTTTGTAGCTCAGTAGGCGACTTTGTCCTTGCCGTTTCCCAATGCGACCCGGACTACAATGTCGGGAAATGGTTGGGGCTCAGGGTGGAGGGCAGAGAAATACTTGACCACGGTCTCGCCCTCCTGCCCGACCTCCCCGAGGTGCGCATTCGCAATGGCATGGCTGAGGTAAGGTACTTCCGAATCTCAATTTCTTCTTTGTTTCGTATTTGTATCTGTACTTACGAATGACTGTGAATCGTAGATGTGATCTGACCATTCAATGGTCGTCGAAATGGATGTTCCAAACAACTTAACTTCGGATGTAGCACAGTACGCTGAGTCGAAGTTTGTCTTCCTCATGTGCTGAACTCCATTGTGAATGAAGTTGTGAATTTCTTCTATGAAATCACGTGGATGCCTACCTTATTTTTGCATATACTCCACAAAGCAGCTTAACTACATCTTTTAGCCCAGTCTCAAGCTTAACATGGTTTGCGTGTCCTTTGTATACAATCTGCGATTTCTTTGCAGTATAATGGCTCGTAACGTCTCACAAGGCTTTTAGCTAATTAAAGAAGTACATTCAAAGTCAACGTTCTGTGCTGCCTGTTGGTGTGCAGCTTGCTGAAAATAATCTTTTCGACTTCGACTTCTGACCATTCCTTTGTGAACTGACTCTGAAGTCTATGCATCAATTTCCGCTATCCCAGAGAGAGGTTACGATTTAGGTAGTCTTTATTTTCATAAATTCTTCGAGTTCGTATGTTGCAGCGAGTTAGCTTCAGCTTATCTTTTACATATGAAAACTTTCTGTCTAAGCTTTAAATCATTATGCCAGCAGAATATATGAACAGAGTTTGTTCGTAGTAACCCAGTTCCTTCAGGCTGAACAAATCGATGCTTTCGCGTTCAAGGCAGCGCCCAGGCAGGATCAGCCTATATACCTGGTTTCGGACAATGTTTGATGACTCTTTGAAGGCGCTGTCCATCTACCTCGATTATTCCCATGTTTTTGTCGATACGGGGCCTTCCCATGTCGCTGACGCCGAAGAAGTCGAGAATCCGCGAAAATCCTCTACAATCCTTGTTCCGGAGACAGCGGAGCGGCCTCCGGAACGCTGATTGGCTGGGCATGTATATGGACGTGCATTACTGGAGGGGTGTTGCCGTCTAGGCGTCGTTTGCTTTCTTCGTCACCCCGGAGCGAGCTTCCAAAAAGACATTTTGCGTCGCGATGGGCACTATCTTCATAGGACGCCCTACTATAAATGTTGCCAAAAGCTCAAGGCCCCTACTTAGGGTATATAGTGCTTTTGAGGAAAAGCGCTAAGTCTGCTCAACTATGTGGCATCCGTTTACGCACCTTTGGTTTGAAAGCGACTACCTCGTCACATTTTCGTTCCCTCATACTTGCGCGGACAAGCTTGGTCGCGTCTATAGGGGACCCGTCAATACTTTGCCGAAAAAAGCCCGAAAGAGCCCGAACCGCCCTTCCGTTTTGACGCTAAGGCATGTGTGTTGATTTAGTCTTTTTGCTTCATTTTCTGTCGTCTGCACATTATTTAATGTCAGAAATCTAGTTCGTCTCGCGTTCCGGCTTTTTCGGGCTTTTTCCGGCTTTTTTTGGCTTCTTCCGGTTTTTTGGGGTTTTTCCGGCTTTTTTGGGCTTTCTCGGGCTTTTGGGCTTTTGGACTTCTTCCGACTTTTTGGGCTTTTTCGGGCGCTTTTGGGCTTTTCTCGGCGATGTAGGACGGTCCCTAGATGGCACTTTTTACGACGACCGCAAGCCATGTACAGTCGCCCTCACCCCACTAGTCGGTCGGTGGACGAATTCAAATTTGAATTGAGGCAGGCCTGTCACGGCAGAGCGCGGCAGGAGACAACGCTCAGCAATTACAAAAACTCAATATAGATCAAAAACGTTGTAACAATACAAAAACTGCTAACAATAAGCAATGGCGAAGAAATACGCAAAGTGAACGCTTGAATTTGAACGGAGAGCTAAGGTGCCGTGCTCTGCCGCGACCTGCCTGCTCCAGTTCGAATCCGAATTCGTCCACCGACCGACTAGTGGGGTGGGGACGACGGGGGACGGTCAGGAGGTACGATCGGCGCGAATTTTTCGCGAAGCGACGCCGCAACGTACTTCAGCCAATACAATAGCAGCACTGCAGGCGCAATGTTACTTATGGCATTGAGTCATGTGTCTGAGAGCTCCCATATCAGAGACGACTATACTCAGGGTCAAGCAAGGGGTGTGGCACACGATCGCTGGTTACGACCCCCCCCCCTCCTGATTGCTGTCTTAATAAGACCCCCCCCCCTGAACTATACACTTAAGATAATATTACTTGAAGGCCCTGTCAAACATAATGGGCAACATACCCATAATTAGCATGTCAAATAACCCCTGTAGACAAAGTGTGAGCGAATTCTGAATATTCAAGATACTAGGCTACCTAAGCGAAATGGTCAAATTCCAACATGGTTAACTTTGTTTCAAAGGTGAATTAGCTATCCGTTTTTGAAATCAAGACAAAGCACTACTGCTTCTTTGTCCACCTCAAAAATCCCGCTTCAAAAGACCTCCAAACTGTGGAATTAGAAGCCAACCAAAATCACATTTTTCCCAATTTTCGCTTTTAATGGCTGTGCTTTCACCAAATATCACTCAGAGCAAACAAAACGAATCAGGCTCAAATCGCTCCTGTGAAAACTAGGAGGGGGTGCGGCACACACCCTTAAAAGCTGCGGCCGCCGCAGCTTTTAAAGGCAGTGGACAGGCAAAATGGACCCCTGTCAGATTTTGGTAGTTTCGGGTAGTGGACTCCCCAATTACACCGTAGCCCCAACCCCAACTTCCAGTTGATGCGCTAAGTCCTGAAAAAAGCGCTTCAAACTTCCACCAATAACGCCCACTCAATGGAAGTGGGCGGGGCTGGTGGAGTTTTGAAGCGCTTTTTCCAGGACTTAGCGCATGAATTGGAATGTGGGGTTGGGGCTACGGTGTACTTGGGGGGTCCACTACCCGAAACTACCAAAATATGACAGGGGTCCATTTTGCCTGTCCGCTGCCTTCAAGGGTGTGTGCCGCACCCCACTCAGATAGTTGGAGCGTGCGGCGCACGCGCGTTTATGGTCAATGCGGCAAAGCGCGTGCCTTATTTGGTATCCGGCACTACGCCAAACGCGTGCCATCCTAGACATTTGGTGCGTGCGGCGCGCGTATTAATGGCCAACACCGCGACCCGCGCGCTACGTTTATGTTCGATCTCGCCACCCGCGCGCCTAGTTTTGTAGCACGCCGCGTGCGTGCCTTTATACTCTACCCGTGCGGCCCGCGCGCCTGCAGTTATTACATGATGTAAGCTTAAGGCATGCCGGCGCAGTGTACGACGCAATGGTCAGGCTGTCTCATCATTCAGGAGGCTAGATATTACATCGTAGTGTATGAATAGTCGCAGAAGTGGAAGTTTTTTTTGCTTCTAAGCGTTAGCCTTCGGTAGCGTTGCAAATGGATGCTGGATCTGAATTTCTGGATTCAAATAGGAATTCATATTTTTTGGCGTATGAAGAGTGGAATTCATTATCAAGACCTGTGGTATACAGCGCAATGAAAAACTGAAAAAAAGCAGCCATCCGCGGCCCAGCACCAGCGGCGCGGCATCCAATGTCCCGCCACCCGCGCAGTGTTGCGCCACCGTGTGACTGCGCGCGCGCTGCCCCCTCCAACTGTCTGAGCATTAACTATATAAAAAAAACATTTTTAGCAAACAGTTTTTATATGAATCGATAGCCTAAACCTTGTAGATTCCATAGGACTGTTTGGAGCCTGATTCGTCTTCTTAGCTCTGAGTGATATTTGGTGAAAGCACAGCCATTAAAAGCGAAAAATGGGAAAAATGAGATTTTGGTTGGCTTCTAATTCCACAGTTTGGAGGTCTTTTGAAGCGGGATTTTTGAGGTAGACAAATAAGGAGTAGTGCTTTGTCTTGATTGCAAAAACGGATAGCTAATTCACCTTTGAAAGAAAGTTAACCATGTTGGAATTTGACCATTTCATTTAGGTAGCCTAGTATCTTGAATTTCAGAATTCGCTCACACTTTGTCTACAGGGGTTATTTGACATGCTAATTATGGATAGGATACGAATATCATGTTATCATTATTATCAGATTACTCAACTACGACCCCCTCCCCTTTTAAGTCCTCAGTACGACTCCCCAGGTGTGGCGTGCCGCACCCCACGCTTGACCCTGACTATACTGTGCATGCCCATTATTCATGTACCCTAATTTCACGCGTACACGACGGAGGAGATTTTTGGCGCTATTCCACATAAGCTGACCCAAAAAATGAAGATCGTGAATTTCGCTAAAACTTCGTCTAGGGAGGTTATTTGGTACGCTGAACACGAATATGATGTTTATTTCGTGCGACAGTGCCATCCGGTGGAGTTACGGTAGGATTACGGTAGGGGGTCAAAATTACGGATTTGCCCGAAACTTGACCTAGAGGGGTTACTCGGCCCGCTGACGCCGAATATCACATTGGTTTCGTACTGTAGTGTCATCTTCTCGAGTTACGGTGGGTATACGGTAGGGGGTCAAAATATCGAAATTCGCTGCAACTTTGCATAGAGGGGTTATTCGACATGCTGATTAGAAATGTCACACTTTTTTCCGCACGAAAACGTCTCCCTGCATGGTTACAGTAGGTTTACGGTAGGGGTCAAAATCACAAATCGGCAAATGTATCTTTTCCCTGTGCTTTGCTTAGGCAAAAGCCGCAGCAGAGTGTGTAGCGCGCGGCGGTGGTCATGTGTGCAAAGCTTCACGATCATCCAAATCGCCACACACCCGTTTCGGGATGAACTATGTTTTACACACGTCACCGTGTATCTACCGTAACCCGATAAAATGACGCTACGGTTCAAAACCAATGTGATATTTGGCATCAGCGGGTCGAATAACCCCTCTGGGCCAAATTTCGGGCAAATCCGTGATTTTGACCCCCTACCGTAATCCTACCGTAACTCCACCGGATGGCGCTGTCGCACGAAATAAACATCATATTCGTGTTCAGCGTAACCCCCTTAGACGAAGTTTTAGCGAGATTCACGATTTTCATTTTTTGGGTCAACTTATGTGGAATAGTACCAGATTTTTTATTATCGAGCAGCACAGACACGCCGAAAGACTTCGCGACCAAAAATCTACATACAGTGTTGCATATTGCCTGAGAGTATTGTGCGGCATAAGTCTCGTCTTCCGAAACACAACGAGGTGGCTGGGCGGTACGCTTGAAAAACCGAAAAAGGTGCTCTTATACGGGTGAAATCAGGATATTAGGTTGTCCGGAAAATAATGTCGCATCGTGTTTTATTTTGCAATACCGCAGCAGGGTGCGCACGAAAGTAAGTGAGTGGAATATCAACCGATAGATTAGAGCAAGCTCTACAAAGTGAAGCTCGAACCTTCGCGCCAGGTTTGATTTGCGTGAAGTTTGGAGCCAGTTTTCATAAGACGTTAAAGATCTAAAAAAACGAAAGAAATCGTATCTCCGTTCAGAAAAGTCTTAGGAATCCCTAACTTGCTCACGCATGGACTCACTATACGAGACACTCGTAAGCATATTTTCGCGGTTTTTCCGTGGCTGAAAATTGAGAGAACGAAATTCGGCATGTTTTTGCCAAAGCGTTGCTGAGCTTCTTCCACATGGGTGATTCTGTAGTATGAACCTTTAGAAGTATAACCATGAGTTTTCAGCTTCAGACAGACAGCTTCAGACGCTAGTTTTCGAGAAAAACCAAATTATTTGCAAAAAACCCGAAAAACGCCACATATTCGCACTTTTGACCTATTTTTTTCGTCGTACTGTAGCCAAAAAATTCCACAAACTATACAGGTGAATGTCTAGTGTGGAGAGATGCCTGCGCAAATTGTAGATCTCTAAGACGTCTATGCACGGAGATACGATTTTTTGGGCATCTGAAACTTCTTATATTTTGGATTCGAACTTTAGATGGAGCAAGACTTCCGCGGGGCTTTGTAAACTACCTTGTAGCGCTTGCTTTGCTCTATCAAATGATACCCCATTCGCTGTTTTTTGTGGTCATTCTGTCGCGGTAGGATGCCACGCAACATTATTTTCCGGACAACTAATACTTATGTCGGAGCACTTGTCCGTGCAAAGCGGATGTTCTGGGTCTTCCCACCTCACATTTGCAATCAGGACCATGTGGCCTGCAAATACCAAAGAGATGAAAGCCAAGAAACAACATGGATGCTACTTTCAAGCTACAATATCTTGTACTTCTCTGTTGCTTTCTTTACATTTACAAGCTCTCTCTGCATTGATAGGTGGATAACCGGATTTGAAACACCGCTCTCTTAGTGATATCGCTTCTCGACTCAATGAATACATGTGCTACAGCGTTTCATTTTGCAGAACCCTTCATGACGCTTACAGTCATCTTTGGAAAAAAAAACAACTTTTGCAAGAGCAGGAGGTGAATGCAACCCCACACGATAAGTAAACATTTGGATAAGCAGTCGAATCACTTTGAAGGATAGACGGACATGTCTTTGACTAAATTAGGATAGACTATCACTAGTATTTACCAGGTGTGCATCCAAATCTACTAGTCACCATAGCTTGTTTCAGGTTTTGACGAGAGCTACAATCCAAGAAAGCCAAGAGAAAATAGCCTTATGTGAAACGGCCGAGTTTGATGTGATTCCGCTGCTCTGCCCCCTGCCTAACAATGTTGATTCGTATTGTGTATTTCAAGTTTGGGCGCGGAGGTAAGTTTCAGCCACGGAACAGATATATCATACCTAAAGTTAGTTTAGGCTGACCGGTGTCGAAAAGCAGCGCTTTGGTGGGTACAAGTGGGCTGCAATTGAATATGTGAACGAAAAACAACGTAGTTTTCCTCCCAAAGATGTGATCGAAGACAAGGTGGGCAATTTTGTGCACGCTTTTGTACCCCGCTTTTGTACATCTTTTTCTTTACTCCCGTCTTTCTTTGAGCCGCAGGAGGATCTCTATCAGACCTTCGGTATTTGATGGTACTCTTTAGAAACACCGTAGCCTCAGTCCTATACTTTAATTCATGCGCTAAATCTTGTGAATGACCTTCAAAGTTTTACCCCATGCACATATGTTGAGGTTGGTCAGTAGAGTACGGGCTTTGAAAGTTTGAAACTCGCTTCCTGATTCAGCGCCTGAGCTGCAGCTGGGGCTGCGGCATAATTGGAAGATATACTATCTAAGAGCCGAAGTTCGACGAATGTCTGTTTCGTCTATCGGCTGACTTATTCGACTGGGGTCTGTTTCGTCTATCCGCTGATTTTGGTCAGTATCCTTGACCTGTAGTTTGTTCTTCTTGTGTATTTTCATAACTTCATGAGAAGAGGATTCGAAAAGCCATACTTTCTTCTCATCGGCCTTGGATTTTACATTGCTCACCTCTACTTTTTTGCCAACGCTCAATGTAAGATCGTTCTGGTAGATGAGCTACTATGCATGATGATTTTATATGACAGGGAATCAGCGTGCGTTACGTTTAGCCCAGGCTATATTTTTCTTCCTTACATAGACGCCAGACTTGACCAGTTAGCCGTTCAGACACTTCATGTGGTCAATTCACAGACTGGGTGATTATAAAGCTATAAAGCGGATAAGCGGGCAAGCTTGCGCCTGTCTTACCTTTGTGATGGCAGCTCTGCAAGCATTAAGAACTTTACTCGTCTGTCGATGTTCGTACGTAACAGTGAATGCATTCTTTGGAAAAATAGCCACAAATAATTTAGGAACTTGCTTTCTTAGGAAAATGTACGCAATCAACCGTTTTCCGCTGGAATGCAAGGGCATCTTATTCACATCAAAAGTGTCTTGTTTTCTTGCTTCTATCTCATATGCTGATCTGTTCGCAAGTCCATCGCAGTCTTGATGTCTGCTTATGTTTATGTTGCTTTTCTTTTATGTGTTTTCTTTGCTTATGGTAGTATGTTTTGGAATTAAATCCAGCAGCTCTAACTATGTCTACCTTGATAGTATTACCACACTTCAAGCGCGCAGTGAACGAAATAGACGCAAACGTCCTTTTTCTTGAGGTTAGGAGCTAAGAAATGCTGCGCGTACGTGAGTCCATTTGACGTCACCTCGTTCTGCATGCCTTACCGCATTGAATGAAAAGAATAACACTTCTCTCCATGATCTCTTTTATGATTCTATTCTATTCTCTCTTCACTAATGAGATTGTTGAAATGAGGTATTAGGTTGGTGCAAAAGTAATGCGCGTTTTTCTAGCCCTTGTTTCAAGACAGCTTTTCTCCATCGGAGTTTCTCCTATGAAACTTACACAGCATACTTTAAAGAAGCTTCTTTCATGCTCTATTCAATGGTGGTTGAAAGAAGCTTCTAGCCTCAATCGTTAGAAATTCATAGAGCTTCATACAACCGCAATCGAAATCAGAATTTCATTGCATTTACTTTTTTGGCCAGAATTTGAGCGCGAGTGAACGCATTCTTTTGAAAATTTAATTATTGTATGTAGTAGAAATTTTCTACGTTATGCATGCTTTGCTGTTATCCCAGAAATTATTTAGATTGAGATTTCGGTGCCCCAACATGAGTGATGGTTTTGAACATTCTGTGGCCCATAAATTTCCTTTGAAGAAAGCAATCGTCAAAGTTTTGCTCACTCCTGTAAGCGTAAGGGTAGACCTCCTGTTGACAGTTTTTGCAGAAATGTGGAAGCTGTTCAGTACGAGAAAATCAAAAATGTCCATATTTTGGGATTTTGAGGGCCACAAAAAATTGTCGAAAAAAGGGGACAATTTTGAATATTAATTTTTCCTTTTCTCAAATCTTCTTTGTTTGAGACCCTTTCAACTTTTATTTGTACTACTGGCTTGCGGCTACAAGATAGTCAACTTTTCATTTATACTAACAAATCGTGAAGGAAGTTATGATCAGTTAAAAACGAGGTTTCCGAAAAAAAATTTTTTTGCTTATCAATCCGTATTTTTTCATCGTTTTGCGATATTAGCACAAATTAATGTGCGCTGTATAGAGAAAGATTTGGTGCCTCTGATGGATTTTGCCGCGCTAAAAAATATGGATATTTTAGAAAGTTATAGCACTTCAAAGTGAGAACTCGCAAAACGCGCATTACTTTTGCACCAACCTAATAATATGCCACTACGCTCGGTGTCACATAATCTCTAGCACAGATTCTTTCAATATCGGTTTTGTCAGTTCTTTGAAGTAGAGGAAGACCCTTCCTTTTGATGAAAATCTTGGCGTTCCCAGTGACAAGTTTTCCGTCTTTATAAATAGTCAGCAGCCTCAAGCAAAACTCATCCAGCAAGCTAATCATGCATTGATATCCCCAAGTTATTAGTGGATGTTCACAATGCTGTTGTGTTTCCGTATGGTCCATGTTTACAAAGATTTCTTTTAGGAAGTGGCTGGCATCTCTTGGGAGCAGGAAAACAAGCAGATGTATCTTGAAGGATTGATTACGGGCGCAAGTAAAACGGGCGCTTACGTATGGTCTCGATGGAATCACAAAAGCTTTGAAGGCGTTCTACAATTTGGCAGCCCCAAGGATGCAGCTGTCTTCAAACTGGGACAGTGGATTCATTTCCATTTATCGTAAGTTCTTCCTATCACCTCTTTTTTTTCTTATAATTGTGGGGCGAACGCAACTTCAAATGGGGTGTCTTACTCGTGATCAACCTTCTGTACTTAACACGAGAGGAGGTGTCCTGGAAAAGGGGTGTAGGCCCTTCTGAACCTGCCCCAATCGCGACGGCTATAAGTGGTCAGCGCTAATTAGAGGTCACTCAATGATTGGCTAGCTCGCGGGAGCGAGCGGCTGACCTTGCAGACGCGCTGGGGAAGCGGACGAGTTTCACATCGCTGGTAACCTACTCCACAACAAGATTCTGGAGGTAATTCTCTAGAAAGCTCATAAATTCCCCAAATTCCCTAGAATTCAAGAACTTAAGTTATTCGCTCTACTCCATACTACTTATATCGCCGGGCACTTTCTAAGGTGGTATGTTTTTCACCTATGAGAGAAATTTTCAATGTCTTTTTCGACTTTTTTTTGTTCGATTGCTCTACTCTCCTAGGTCTTTGTGAGTTCGATTGCATGCTTTACTTTCCTACGTCTGCCTCCTTGCAGCATCATCTAGTCACATTCAACTGAAATGTGCACTACATGCATGCCAGTAGGGAAGCATACGTTTCTCTTGTGATGAGTATAAAGTTTTTATCAAAAACGCAATCAAATAAAAATGCATCACCTTCATTTGGTAGCGTGATCTACATGGATTGATTTTGGTAGCGACCTTTTCTTTGCTGCACGCATCATGCTTTCTATAGCGTAAAAATTTCAAATGCACGTTCGTAAATTTTACTAGGAATGAGAAATTTAAGATGATAAATTTCTTGAAAACCTACAGAGATGCAATGAAATGTCAGAAGGAAATACGCATTTAATAACCAATTAGCGTAGATCACCAATTTGAGTTATAATTGGCCTTTATAAAGAGTTGTTACACGAACTTTGATTACATGGGCTTTCCTCAGTAACATCAAGCAGCTCACATTAGCAATGTGATGTGACGATGCCCGACGTTATAAGGATCGCACACACAAGGGATATAAGTAGAAAAAAAGCAAAAAAAACAAAGTTCGGAAGAATAAAGGAGATTCATGAGAAGTTTTTCATGGATCATGAAAATGAAAAGACTTCGAAGATGTCCCATAAATCATAAACATACCTGCTGGGAAGTAGGGCTCAGAATACCAAACATTCAGAGGATGGTAGCTGTGTGGTTGAAATCAGCGTGATTGGCTTGCATTCCATAATGCAAGAGCCGCACGAAAGAAGTTGGTGATTTTTGAAAATACGAGCCCTTCGCGGAGCACTCGTCCGCAGTCATCGCACGCATGCGCGCGCGTCCTAGTTCTAGATTACTGTAGTGGACGGTGGGTTCAGAAGGGCCGTCTCCCCTGGAAAAGTCTTGGGAAGCGGGATATGAAGTTCTGGGATTTTCATCTTATAGCAGGGCAGACCTGTCAGTGTTTTATGAGCCGGAAAGCAAAAAATTCCCTGGATTTTCGCTAGTTTAGCTTACACGTCATCGATACCCTTGATGTCCGTAAACAACGGACGAAGGTAACGAGGGGTGGAGGACAGTATGTCGCCGAATATGGAGTGGTCCGCGTGGATTTTTTGCAGGAACGCATCTTCGTGCACTTGCAAGGGTGTGCATTTGTTGCAAATGACAGCGGGAACCGCCCCTTTTCGGCGACATATAGTCCTCTACCCGGTAACGAGGAAAAGCAGTTTACAACGAATGTCAGGCCCCTGTTTAGCTTTGGAGTTCATTTTATCGTAAGGAGGGGAGCTGCTTCAAAAAAGCGGCAGATTAATTTGTGAGGACGCCTTCTGAGTGGTCGGACAAATCAGTCCTGCCCATGACAAGCTTGCGCGAGGTTACAATACCTACAGCACTGTCGGGGCGCATCTTCTTCTCTCAATTGAACTTGTATTGAGCTTTAGGGAGGAAAAACGTCGTAGCTTCATTTTAGCACATAAGTTTATCAGCGCATTGATGAGACAAATTATAGCGCAAAGTCAGGAGTCTACCCATAAAAGGCATGTCCAAACTGTTCAACTCTTCCTGGGCGCTGCCCTTGCACGAAACCTAAGTACGGTCTTCGAAGGCATAAAAGGCCGGAATTAGGGCTTTTCTGCTCTTTCTAGCGATAATACCTGGAGAAGTTCTATCGAGAAGGTGTTTTGAGGCGAAATGTGTAATCGGAGTTCAAGGATTTGATCCTTGCTTCTAGGAACTAATAAGGCCGCTTAACACATTCACAACAGGGCTGATTTTTCGATGATGCCATTTCGGACCAGAGCATAATTCACGAAGTTGAGTTTGCGTAATATTTTCAGGTCACTTATGGGTCCGTAATCTGAAGTGTTAATCTTTTGGAACGTACTCCAAGAGGTGTATACAGAAGTTTACTCGGTTTGCCCAAAAAGTTTTTCACCGTGAACTAGCAAAATCAAAAACTTCAGAAAGCGTACTACCCACCGATGGGTCGTATTGTCCGAAATGGCAGGACACGTACGACCCACCAGTGGGTCGTATTGTCGTGAATATGTTAAAGACACCGCTCCACCTAAAATTTCGACCTCCATGTTTTTGGCGTTCCAGGGCTTTCTCATACCCCTGATTCCGAATATCAGGTCGGAAATCCGCGAAAACCGCAAAAAACCCCGTTTTCAGAACTCGCAGAGCGATTTCTTTGGAACGGTGTTTGGTTGGGCGCACACGGATGAGCTGGACGAACGTCACGCTCACTCAAAGGGGAGGGGCCAACGTGGCGATTCTGTCATTCGAGCGATTTTCGAAGCCATTTTCTCGCTTCGGAAGCAACTTTTGCTAATGGACAAGTATACAGTTGGGGGTCCCACTACTGCTAGGCATCAAAATCTCATCGACCCCATTTTGGGTGGACGGTGCCTTCAACGGTACCGCGACGATCCGCGAGGATCAAAGCACTGGCTAAATAATCGGCTGACTCTTGCACGTCATTGAAAAGGAGTAGACGCAAGCAGCCTCCTTGACAAGAAATAGTTGCTCTGGGCACAGCCCGCAGGATAGCGAAGAGGTCAAATTTTTATGTTTTTACCATGACATACAAATCAATTGTCTTGTCGTAGTTTGATAGTGTCATCTTGAGAAAGCAGCTTATAGCTACATTTTTGTACCTTTCAGAAAAATCGAACTTCAAAGCGTTGGTTGCGGAGCCAAGTTCAATATACATGCGTCGGCATGCAAATTAATCAAGGCGAAGTTTCCGACACACATTTCCGAGAGCTCAGTGAAGGTGATGTATATTCAGTGCAGTAAAGTTCTGGCATGCCTTCTGAAATTGTGTTAAATTTTTTTTGAAGCATCATCTGACCGCTCCAATTATTCAGTTAACTTTGAAACTCTCGGTTCCTGTGACGCATGTATCGGGAACTGACATATACCAGGAGGACATTGGTGTTCTCTCTGACCCGGAAAGGCTCCTAAATGGCGGTCAAGACTACGACGCAACAATAGTGAAAGTTCGACCGAAACCATCGAGTATCGAATCACAGGCTGTGGAGTGGAAAATTGTATGTGCAAACCCAGAAGGGGAGGTCAGTTTTCTCTATATTTGATACTAGCTGGCTTACTCGGCTCAGCCCGGCTCTGTCATAAACGATAAAGGTTCCGTTTCTATCCCTGTACAACCTTTCCTTTCCACTTCTACATGCTATTCCCTATTGTGTTAGCAATCAGTATGCTCACCTACCTCCCTCACCAACCCTCAGCCCCTAGCTTAAACTTTGCAAGAAAAATCAATAAGATAAAAGTAAGGATAATTCTAAAAACTGATGGCATTGTTTGGCATCCGGGCCCCAAAATGTTTTCGTGATGGTTCTTGCTCAAACTCGGTATGTGGGGGTTACTCGAGCCGCTGATGACGAATTCAGTAGTCATTTCGCGCGATAGCGCCATTTTATGGGTTACGGTGTGTACGCCTAAGAAGCTAAAATCATGGATTTTGCTGAAACTTTGCTTAGGGAGGCTATTTGACATGCTGATAACGAATTTCACTGAGTTATGGTAGGTATACTGTGGAGGGTCAAAATCTCAGTTTTGACTGAAACTCGGTCTAGAGAGATTCGACCTTCTTACCACGTTTAAAACACTCTCGTTGCGTTTTGAGACCTTTTCGCTGAGTTACGATAGGTACGTGGCCGCGGGTAAAAATCATGAACCTGCCTGAAACCTTGGCAGAGGGTTACCTAAAGTGCTGTTCCAAGAATATCGTACTCAATTCCCACGATAAAGGCAATTCGTGTGGTATAGAAGGTTTCCCACGACCGTAATGCTTTCCTCATAGGTAAAACCACTGCCGCGCGCGATACACCCTTCGGCGGCTTTTGCCTAGGCAAAAACAGGGGGAGGGAGATTTGCCGCGTGCGTCGTTGTGGCAGGTTATCAGGATGCGCTAGAGACCGCCATGCAAAACGACCGTTTCCCTATTTCATGAGGATCTAAATGGCCCGAAAGCGAAAAATGTCCGTTCAAACCTTGCAACTCACCTTTACAATAATGCGTTATAACAGTGAGCAAACATCATATTCATAAGCAACTTGCTTGTAAACCGTACAGGTAAAGTTTTGAGCGTGGAACTTTGACCAATCTACTATATGAAAAGGTCCCAATATGCAGAGAGAGTATGATATTCGTAATCAGCATGTCGAATAAGCCCTCTGAGCCGAGCTCTAGCCTAATTCATGATTTGACTTCCTACCGTACACCTATCGTAATCACACGGGGAGACGTTCTGCGGAGAAAGTGTGATATCTGTAATCAGCGTGTAAGATAACCCTTATAGACGAAGTTTGAGCAAGCTCTACAACAAAAGCATTTTGGGGCCCGGATAGCCGAATAGCGCCAAACTAATATTGTACTCGTAATCAGCATGCTCGATTATCGCCTTGTGCCAGCTCCCAGCCCCGTAGCCAAACTTTGCAAAAAAATCGATAAAATCGATAAAAGTAACGAATAAGTCCAAAAACTGATATTGTATTCGTAATCAGCATGCTCTATTACCCTCCCACCCCCATGCCAACTGCCAGCCCTGTAGCTCTAACGTTGCAAAAAATTCGATACGTACAGACAAACAGACAGACAAACATACAAACAGACATTTAGCTTTATTTATATAAAAGATTCGTATGATATTCGATCGTATTGTATTCGATAGTCGGGTTCAGAATTTTCGAGAATCCGACTTTGTGCAATCGTGCAGTTGCTGCACCAGGTTAGAATTTGATGCATAGCATGAGATAGTCACCTGGGCTTAAATAGGCACGACTATCTTGCGTTAGACAAGGTGTGTGTGTGAAGAAACTTGTGCTCTCTACTACTACTACTCTCTCTTTGTATAACATCAATTTCAAAATGTTATGGTTCTCGTTTTGTCAAGAGTTCTGAAGTATTTTAATTGCGCAAATTTTTAGATGCGATTACTCATTTTTGTGGATTTGAAGAGTAATCAAAGGTAATGCTTTTATCATGTCGCGTAATATGTACTTTTTCAGAGTTGGGCTCCGCATTTCTCCCGGAAAGTGACAAAGGTGAAAAGGCCGTTATTTTCTGGGGTGGCGAAAACGCGACCTCTTCAAAGGAGTCCCACGCAGTCATCTTCAAAAGCAGCCCCTACCCAAACTCCAGAAAAAGTCCCAGATAAGAAGGACGATGTGGTTGATGATCCCACACGCGTTGTGCCAAAACAGCTGGATTTTACGGAGCGACAAAGAATAGTGGCTGTAAGTTTGCTCATGTCAACTACTTATAACCTCATTACTCCTGACGGGACGCTTATCTCAAATACAACGTGCAAATGAATCTTCGTGTCCCAGTGAAATTTATTAGAATCATCTCAATCATTCCATCTCTACACAAATGTAAAGCGTAACGAAGTCGGCATCAGTGCGCACATGTGCTGTACTCGTTCACTTGTAAAGTTGCTACTGTATATAAAAAGGACTCATACTTGTCTTGATGGATCCTCTGGTCACCAAAGCACGTGTATGTACTTTCTGCTGGACAGGTGACCATGAAAGCAATCTTCATCTCAAAGCTCGGGCACATTGCTTACCGCTGCATAGGCAAATGTGTTGCCGGTCGATCACACGGTAACCAGTGTTTCAGTGTTTGGCGCACAAGCGGAAGCTCTAAATTTCAGTCGACCGTTTTTTCGGTAGGGCTCATAAGAGGGCCACATACATGACTCGAATCCCTGAATTAGTGACTTAACTACTCTTTTCGTACTCCATTTTTCTGAATTTTGTAAGAAAGGCGCTACTGTAAATAAAGGAAGGCGAGTCACTGGCAAGCATCACCATCTTAGAAAAAGTGTGTTGTTTTCGTATTATACTACACTATTGTTTAATATGTCTCTAGTAAGGACAGTAGAATCGCCTGAAGTTGATAAACAGAGAAAAATGCGAATCTGAAGCACCGGTAAGCTTTCTTTTACTTTTCTCCTCTGATCCTGATGCATGCGATCTCAAGACCGTGCCTTTGTTCCTTCCAGACCTGTGGTTTTATTCACCGTCTACGAAAAACTTGGTCGGCGTGGGGGAGGAGATTGGTCTACACTCCTTTCTTAGTTCTATCATCAATATTGATTTGTGATCTGAACGATAACATGATTCCATCAGCAGATGCTTACTTAAGCAAGGTCAGGAAGGAAATGATTTCTGCCTGGCACTTTGCAAATGGAAGAATCAAAGACTAAAGCATTGGAGCTACAAACAAAAATAGTTCGGTGGTAGGAAGTGGGTCAGTACTGCATCAATCTCGTCCGATTTTGACTATATTTCGAAACATCTTTGAGAATTATCCGACCATTTGAAGCGAATGATTCAACCGTTTACAAATCTGAAATTTAGGTAACATGTGCATATCAATAGTCCGGGATTTTCTATTTTGTATACCTGACTCAGTAACGCACCTACTCAGTTTTTCAAAGTGCCTCTGAATACTTGGGGATTGTTCACGTTCTCTCACAAAAACGCTTCATTTTAGGAAAAGATTCATAAACGAGAAATCGGGATTGAGTGCTCGGATATGCTGTGATTTCGTTGGCATGTACTTTCTCTGTTTTTCTCATCTTTATTTGGCAAGAACCCGGACCAAAAGGTAGCTTTCAGGACTTTAATTTCATAATTTTCAGTTAGCCATGGTGGAGCAAGTAGCAGAGAAAGGACGATATCGCGTTTGGTTACTCGAGTACCACCGTGAAGCAGTGTTCAACACCACTCGAATACTTGAACCTGGCCATTTTTTCCAAGGAGTGTTCAAGCTTGGTGGCGGCTCCAAGGTTGTTGCTATAGCTTTGTTAGTTTGAAGGATAATGACGTGTGTCTTTTAGGATAAGTGTCATGATTACATACAACCGATACCACCGATTCTTGATGGTAAACTCACAGAAGATGGCGAGATCGAAGTAGGTCTTATTATGTCGAGTAATCAATGGTCTCACAAACCAGCTTGCTCTTTCTCTTCATCGAAGAAATCGCTAGGCAGTGGTCATATCTGGCGCTGTCTCAGTCGCTACGCGATAAGGCATGGCTGCGATCGTTCAGGATTAGAAGCACATTTTGTGCATGACTTGGCACGTTTGCAACAGATTAGAAATTATGCGCGTATTCCGAACTCCGCGCTTGGATTTAAAGGCATTTAGCAAATTGAGTTGCTTTGCGAGTGCGATTTGGAAAGCGCTCGAAATGGGCATGCCTTGAAAGCACCAGTCATTTTTACTACTATCTTTAGGTGTACGTGAGCGTTTGGCACACGAACAGGAAGAATGGTGCTCATTACGTTGTTTATCATGATTGCTTGGGTTGCGTGGTGAGTTTGTCAATCTTTTCTGGACGATTGGGGGGGGGGGGGGAGTCAAAGGCAGTGATCAGATTTTCGTGGACCCTACAATATCATTCACCATTTCCCTTCACTCCTTTATTTCATATCTGTGGTATAGTAAGCCGAGGATCGCCAACGCAAGCATAATAAGCTGTAACTTGCTGTTGTACTCTTTGCAGTTGTTTAGAATTTGAGATAAAGATACTAAATTTCTCTATTTCCAATTGTAAGAGTTTGCATTCAGCGCGAGCAGAATGGCCGCATTGCTGCTAGTTGCCCCGCGAAGCGGTCGTTCTCTCGTTATTTAAAGGACTATATGTCGCTGATAGGCGCCTTCTTGCGCGGACAGTTGGTGCAAATCTGTAATTTCCGTAACATGTTTGGCTGCGTGACCTGTGGCAGATGTCCGCGTAAGACCACCCCTTTGGCGACATATACACCCGAGAATAGAGAAATTTGTTGAGCATAAACACGTGCCACTTTTGCAATCTATCGTCAAAAACTCTGAAATCAGTGTTGAGCTTGGATTTGGCGTGCTACATCTAGGAGATTTTATCACTGTATGTGAACCGGAGGGGTAGGGTCATACCTGGCAACAAGATGACGTCGAAGGAGAAGATACTCTTGCCGGCCTTGAAGTTGTTTACTCAATTATCTATCATCACTATCTATCTCCTTCTTTCTGCTGTAGGCTGCTGCATGACGAAGGCGCAATATCTTCAGACGCGCACGCGGCTTTATTAGTCGCAGAGCGCATGAGGCGCAGGATTCGCAGCAGTGAGGGTACGCGTGCATGGCGTTCGCGCCTGCTCAACTAATACCGCTTCTGCGCCTTCGTCATGCAGTAGCCTTTTAAATTGTTGAAAACGTCACAAACCTCATTTCATGTAAAAGCTTAATTTTGGGTGACATGTGGTTTGGGCTAATTGGAATGTAAGGGGGGGGGGAGAAGAGGGGGAGACTAAGCTTATGTATCAGACGGTTAACTATGTTTTGCAACCAAAGTGGAGCCGCATTCTTTTTGATGGGAATAGAAAAAATTCAGGCGTTTTTCGAAAATTATTGATGTTTGAGGATTCATGGGGTTATAAGCAAAAGCGAAGGTGTTTGCAACCTTGCTACCGGCACTGTAACGCAGTACTGCGCGCACGGACTTCAAGAAGTATCAATCTTCCGGGCTTTGATTTATTTTAGTGGCAGCATAACTTTTCGGAGGCGAAGAGGGGAAGAAAGCGGTAGAGGAGGAACAAGCAAGGATGGTCATTTTCGGACAATTACCCTATTTTCAGGTGTATAAACCGCACCCTTTTTGCTCTACGCGAGCAGACCCAGGCGTGCCGTTGCGCATGTGCCTCGTGAAGCGGGTCGCTTTCCCGCACATTGCTCTCACTTAAAGGCAGTGTCTCACCAAAGATGAGGTCGCACGGATCTTCACATATTCTATTATAGAGACCTCTAAATAGGCCATTGCAACAAGTCCTACTCAATTTGACCCCCTCCACGCTGAGAAAAATTCGCTCAAAGTGGTACGCGGAGAGCGACTTGGAACGCGCGGACGACTCCTTCGGTCTCCTTCCTTACGCGTTTGAACATGTCCCTCCACTTGGCATCCACCTCCCCTCTGTTGCTGCCACTGTGGCTGAGGCTGAAGTTGGGCGGAAACTCATCCACGTCGCTTCCGCGGGGCCTGCGGAAGCGACGTGGATGCGGAAAATGGGGTTTTTGGGAACTTCATGCGACTTCAAGCCCATACAGTGCTAGACAGGGTCCGACAGGCTTGCAGAATGCAAAAATCTCGGCAACTAAATTTTGGTGAGACAGTACCTGGCCTGCCGCGCCCCATCGTAACAGGCAGTCTTTTGACATGTGCGCCTTTAGAGTGAAAAGGGTGCGGCTTTTACACCTGGAAATAGGGTAACACTTTTAGAACTATTAGGTCATTCGGAAAGTTTTTTCGCGTTTTGCGCCCTAGATGTCATTACCATGTTTTGAGGGAGTACCAGAGGGCTGATAGGTGTTGCTATATATGGATTTGTAGAGAAAGCCCTCTAATTTCTGCAAATCTCACCGAAGTTGCAAAAAACGCTTTGTAGGGAAGTTTACGTGGCTATAAGTCCGTCATATGAAAACGCGATTTACGAATAATGGCATTCTTCAAGCTCAGTCTTGAGTGTATGGCAGTTAAGGAATCCATCATTGTGCGCAACGCATTTGCTAAGCCACGTCTTTCTTGAGGTTGGTTCAAATCTGTTTCAAAAAGTCCAGATCTAGAGAAGTGAAAGCTAATGTTTCATCTCAAAGTTCCTTCAAAGTAAATCGCAGATATAGCTGCATCAAATGATGAGCAGGCTTTGAAGTGTCATATAGCCCAATTAGGAGCCACCATCACCAAAGCTGCAATACCGAAAAATATCAGTGGCATACACCTCACAAATTGTCGCACTTGCAGATTGAGGGCGCGTTGTCTCTGCTTTCGTTTCTCATAATTTGACGGAGCAATTCTTTTTTGCCCTAGGTTGATAATTGCAGCAAAAAAATGTTCTAAGTACGGCTAAAAGAAGCAACAACGTGGTAAATCATTTGGTACAAGCATTGCAAGCATGGCCATGAACAGTCAGTCATTCCAAAAGGTTGATGTGCTCAAATTAATGTAATTCTGCTGGTCTTGCACGCTATAAACTTGCTAAGTGTGATTGGTTTGTAGGAGCAGAATAGTGTGATATCGCTTTAAAGACCTTTTGTGAAACATCTGAAAATGAGCAGACTTGCAGTACAAACTATGAGAGGTGCTATCCCAGCCCATGACGCCGCCAAACGACATGCAAGAAAGGTGGCTCTCACAAAAGGGGCTGACTGCGCACCGAGGTTCCTGTTTCATTTTCGAATTTTTAGACCCTCCTTTACCAATCAAAAATTTACTGGTCCCTCAGTGCCTATTGAAAAAAATAATAGGACCCAATGAAAATTAGCTAGTCAAAAACTTCTTTTTGAGCTTAATTGATTCCTGTGAGGTTATTTTGCAAGAAAAAAGCAAAGAGCACTACGTGAGTGTTACCAAAAATTAGCTGAACACAATGATCTGGAAAAAGTTGTGCTCCTTTAAATTTGGAGGTGCAAAAACGAAACTTTCCGAATGCCTAATATTGATCATGGTGTTTGACGTGTACAACATCTAGCACATACTTTTGGATTATGTTAACAAGTAAACTGAAGATTTGAGAAGATATGTTCTAGTCAAAATTGATGGAGAAGGATCGATTACTCCAAATATTCACGTTTTTTGCAACTGCATAACCATATTGCACCTATTGCTGAGCTCCAGACAAATTTTTCAAACATCCTTGAATAAGTGTATCTCAATCTGTTGCGGCTGGTTTTCTATGGAAGATTCCCGTTCATTCGAGTTCACTCCAATATAGTCTAGTCATTTCATATGATCAGATGTTGTCCCCATCCTGGAATTCCAGATGCCCTAACAGGAGACCAACTAGTTGTTACCTCCTAACATAAGTCACTTTGTGGGGCTGCACGTCAGGAGGTACGCCGCGCGCGGCGGCCGCTTTGCCGCGCAGGCCGCGTTCGAATCTTGGGACACGCAAAACTCCCCGCTGTTAAAGATTCCCGGCGGCAAAAACAAGGGGCCAGGGGTGAGACAGATGCATGACTCGACGCCATAAGTAACTGTGCACCAGGAGCGCTACTGTTATATTAGCTGAGGTACGTTGCGGCGTCGCTTGGCGGAAAAATCGCGCCGATCGTACCTCCTGACCGTCCCCCCTTTGTGGAGACTAGCATCTAAAGTGTACATAAAACATGAAGAAAACATCAGAAGCGACATCCTGAAGGGGTGTCTATCTCCGAAACTCCAAAGTGGGGACGGCAAAGTACAAAGTATTGTGTGCAACGGTAATATGGTGCCACATTGACTATATTGACTTACACTGCCATAAATGCGTCTTCTTTCCTATCCAAATAAAAATTTTAAGGAGGACACATGCGATTTGTTGAAGCAAGTCGAAGACAAAACACGCGTGTCTATTGCAGCGAGGAGGAAACCAACTGCGAATGATAATCGACTCATTTGGCAAATTGTCCAAGTGGTCGAAAGTGCTCTCAGCAGAGGCTCATGATTTGCTCTTCGCTCTCCTTTACCACTTTTCCATCTTCTCTTCTTCTTCTTCTTCTTCTCTTCCGTTTCACGTTTTAACTGTATTACATATGAAACTAGTTTCACTCGTATATGCATTATACTTGTATAAGATATATATCACTCTTTATTGCTATCATTAGTTTGTATATTCGGTTGTCTGAGACTCCTTTAGGATTGTTTTTGCTCATACTGGTCGGTGCGTAAGCGTCAATATAGTTCCATAGATTTGATTTTCAGTTGAAAGAAAAAAAAATTACCTTCTCAAAGTAAGGAATTGCTTAGGTCTTCGTGATGTATATACAGAATTTTATTGAATTCAGCAATAAAAATACTTAATTCGTATGCCTGCACATTACAGGTGTGATGTCGTCGTGTGCCGAGATTGTCGGCACCTCTCTGTATCCATATCATTTTGCGTGTAACTAGATGTAAGAATGCATAAGCATGACCTACAGTAGTATGTTTGAAGTCCAGATGCCTGTTGTGTTACTTTGCTTCGCCTATCATATGCAGCATTCTACCACTGTTCCACCGCATGTCCTTTGACTCAATAAATCTGCTAGGTACTGTTTCTGTACACACTAGCAGGTAATCTTCGAGCGAGACTACGCCTCGGCCAACGTCAACGTGCGTAAATTGGCCTAAATCTTATATATAAAGCTGAATGTCTGTTTGTATGTATGTATGTCTGTCTGTCTGTATGTGTGTACGTATGTTCCGAATAGAAAATTCCATTTCTGAACCGATCCGGACCAAACTTGGCACACATACACTTCGGGCCCCGGCGGGTGTCATAGGCTACTTTTCGTCATCGATCGATATCGATTTTATCGATTTTTATCGATTTTTTTGCTGAGTTCACCTACGGGGCTGGGAGTTGGCACAGGGGGGTAATCGAGCATGGGGATTCCGAATACAATATTGATTTTCAGGATTATCGATTACTTTTATCGATTTTATCGATTTTTTGCAAAGTTTGAGCTACGGGGCTGGGAGTTCGCACAGGGGGTAATCGAGCATGGGGATTCCGAATACAATATTGGATTTCGGGATTATCGATTACTTTTATCGATTTTATCGATTTTTTTGCAAAGTTTGAGCTAGGGGGCTGGGAGTTGGCACAGGGGGGTAATCGAGCATGCTGATCATCCCCAAGGGGGGTGATCAGCATGCTCGATTACACCCCTGTGCCAAATTCCAGCCCCCTAGCTCAAATTTTCAAAAAATCGATAAAATTGATAAAAGTAATGGACGATCTTGAAAACTAATATTGTATTCGTAATCTGCATGCTCGATTACCCCCTGTGCAAACTCCCAGCCCCGCAGGTCAAACTTTACAAAAAAATCGATAAAATCGATAAAAGTGATGGACGATCCTGAAAACTAATATTGTGTTCGTAATCAGCATGCTCGATTACCCCCCTGTGCAAAATCCCAGCCTCGCATGTCAAAATTTACAAAAAATCGATAAAATCAATAAAAGTAATCGATAATTCTGAAAACTAATATTGTATTCGGAATCACCATGCTCGATTACCCCCCTGTGCGAACTCCCAGCCCCGTAGCTCAAACTTTGCAAAAAATCGATAAAATCGATAAAAGTAATCGATAATTCTGAAAACTAATATTGTATTCGGAATCACCATGCTCACTTTCCCCCCTGTGCCAACTCCTAGCCTTGTAGGTGAACTCTGCAAAAAAATCGATAAAAATCGGTAAAATCGACATCGATCGATAACGAAAAGTGGACTGTGACACCCGCCGGGGCCCGAAGTGTATGTGTGCCAAGTTTGGTCCGGATACGGCGGAGCCGGGTAAGCCAGCTAGTTGGCCTATATGTTTGTTACGCGGGGAACATGCATTCTTTTCTCAATCCCCCCCCCTTCACCGTTGGGCCAAAACCCACCTTTTATTGCGACCAGTGAGTCACAAAATTTCTTGCTTAAAAATCCCAGTTTTTGGTTTTCAATATCTTCAAATTCGCTAGGGTCGCGTATAAATTTTTCCAAGCTCACTGCTTCTAAATGCCTGCAACTTTTTTCTTCAATTCTTTGCGAGAACCACACAGCCTCTTTATTGCAGTCTCTAGCCTTTCCTGGCTTTAGTTACTAGTTTCTGAATTACCGTGCTCATGCATCTTTGTGGGAGGCTCTAAGTTTTGTTCGGAAGAAAGGAGAGTCCGTGCAGAAAGTAGCGAATATTTCTAGTAAACATTCTTTACGCTTTAAAAATATCATATTAGTACCTGCAAATAATGATGTTGCAGACGGGGATCTAACACAAGATTATCATTAGTCATTGTTTATCATCACAAGATTGGTCTAAAGCATCCTTATTTCACCATAGTGAATGTTGTTCAATCATACAGCACATGAATGAGTTCCAAACACCCAAGAATTGCAACAAAAAAAGTATCTGTCTTTGAAAAACAAGTAGGTAATTGAAAAGCAATCGATTAACAACTGAAGTGTTTCTTAGTTGTGATTTTATCACTTGCTTATAGCCCACCGTCTAGGCAAGTTATGATCCAAATATCGGTGTCAAACTAAAGTTGATGTCCTTCATCGTCAAGACCATGCAACTTTGACCACAATATAATCCTTTGTGGAATTTCCCTACTTACCCAGTCTACGCAGATTTGTTTTAAGGAGTCTTGAGCTCAAGCATTTTTTGCATTATCGCCCGGTTTGTAAGTAGATTGCTCTAACTTTGTCTTATCTTATATATAAAGCTGAATGTCTGTTTGTCTGTCTGTCTGTCTGTGTGTACGTATGTTCCGAATAGAAAAATCCATTTCTGAACCGATCCGGACCAAACTTGGCACACATACACTTCGGGCCCCGGCGGGTGTCATAGGCTACTTTTCGTCATCGATCGATATCGATTTTATCGATTTTTTGCAAAAGAGCTACAGGGCTGGGAGTTGGCACAGGGGGGGGGGGGGTAATCGAGCATGCTGATTACAAATATATTATTGACAGGGCCGGGCGGAGCCGGGTAAGCCATCTAGTAATTTCTAATCAACAAGGCAAGCGTGTTTGGTCGGAATGGCCTTTTCAGATGAGACCCATATTGCTCTGACTATTGCACAGTGATTCTAAATCTGCCTACATTATCTGCCAAGCCTCCGAATGCCGAGTTATGAGCAGGGTTGAGCGTGGGGTCAGGCGCGCCCGACCTGGGGGGTCGTACTGGAGTAAGACAGAGCGGGGGGGGGGGTCGTGATTAGGAATCGAATCGTTCGATTGAGGAGATACTACGATTAAGGTGAAGAAGAAAAGCACTAGTTTAGTGGATATCGCGACCTCACCAGTACTGAAGGAATGAACGGTCTTAAACAGCATACTGATTGATTCTACAATCGAAGTTTCGGCCAAAACTCAAATCTTCATCTTCTACCTTGACATATTATAAATTCATCAAGGAAGCTTGCTGTGTGAAATGGGTATCATTTCCGAGCACGTCAAATTACCTCTGTGAGCCCTACAAACCATTATTTACTGCACTATCTAGTGTTTCTCAACGACTAAAAAGCGTGATTTTCAAACATGATTGACTTGTTTTCAGAAGTGAGAAAGGTCAATTTTTTTGTACTCGTAACAAAGTATTGTTCCCTACTAGTCTAGGCTAAAAATCGCGCTTTGTATCGCTTGCAAATAGTGGAGTAAGACATAATGCCAAAATTCCGACCGGCGCGTTTTTCGCCATGACTGCTTCAACTCCACGGATTACCACAAGGCCGAAACAAGTCGAATCAAGTCCAAACACTTACTGTGGAATCTTCGAGGGTTGTGCTAGCGATTCACATAAAACTTGAATAAAAAAGCTTCTTCAATGATAAAGTTAATCGGGTCAGGCGCAACCCCACAAAAGGTCAGGCCGCCTGAGCTTTTGAGGGGTTGCGCCTGACCCGATTAACTTGTTTTCAAAATCTAAAAATCGCTCCTTTTCTGCTATGAGTATTGAACTCAAAGCCTCTTCTTGCAATACTGCAAATTTGGAGCCAAACAATACACCCCTGTGGGAATTATTGCTCTAAAAGTAGGGCTATCCAAAATCCAAAACTTGCCGTCAAGTTGTGTGTGCTGTGCAATCGCAGAAAGTCGACCTACAGACCTCCAAAAAACAAGAACCTCCCAAAAACGGCTGATCTCTTCGAATTATCACAGCCTGAGGTCCTGGAGGTGACGCAGAGGGGTCGTTTAGGGGCTTTCACCGGGGGGGGGGGTCGTTTTGGAAAGACTTGTGCCTGACCTCTTGCTCAACCCTGGTTATGAGTGTTTTTCGGGTCAAAAAATTGAACGCCAAATCAGAGCAAGATCGCCCAAATTTGCTCAAATGCTCCGCTGTCACGCAACAGAGCAATTCATGCAATGGATAAATTTTGCCTAGTATGCTAATACTTGATCTGTTTATCTTACTGCTTTATCTGAGCGCTAGAAAGAAGTTAACACTTGAATTTACCTTAATTCTGCACTCATTTTCCGTTCCAAATACGCTCATAACTAGGCGTCCAGAGGCGCTTGGAGGCAGATTTGGAATCACCACGCAATGCTTTTCAAAGTGGTATAAGTCCCGTTCAAAAATGCCACTTCGACTAAGCACGCTTCCCTTGTAAGCCATCGGCATCCTTTGAGGTGTTCTGAAACTCGTTGATGCAGATTACCGCAAAAGCGTGGAAATAACGGGGAGGGGGGGGTCGTACGAATGGGTGCCATGAAGGGCGGGTATACTCAATGAAAAGGGGCGGGGTTGGTGGAGTATTTAAGCGCGTTTTTTAGGACTTAGCCCATTAATTGGAGGTGGGCATTGGACTACACTGTACTTGGGGGTCTACTACCTAAATCCACCGAAATTCGAGAAGGGTCCATTCTGCCAATCCATTGCCTTTAAGAGAAGCAGTGATGCTGCTTGAAAAGAGAATGATGTTTTGAGAGAAGGTCCTGGATCGCAACGAAACGCTTGACCCTGCTTCCAGTTCCATCTCCGCATCTTCGCAGAGGAGTGCTCGATGAGCTGAGTCTTCTTCCCATTTGGCAGCCCGATCTTCTTCCCTCTTCGTTTAGTTCTTGCGGCATCGTCTCTGCCTCAGTGATGCTGCTCGAAAAGAGGACGATGTTGTCTGAGCGAGGGCTTGAAAGTAATCTCCCACAACTTGTGTGGCGACTCGGTGGGCTCATGGCACCTAGATGTTAGCCGAGGCCTGATGTTTGCTCGATAACTAAGCGACAAACCTATTCTACTGCGCACCTAACGCCGACGGAGAGAACATGAACTAAACTATTTATCCTTATAACATCACGCTGCACTAAAAGAAACAGAACGCCATACTATCGCCATTCTATCATGATAGCACTAGCAACGCTAACATGTTTGCAATAACATATGCCACTAGTCTGCATGCCCGGCTTCGCCCGCATCGAGAATTCAGCTGGCTCAACTAAGAATAAGATTGGCGCACAACTTTTAGAGCTCAACTTACTGCGGTTTGGCTTTCTACTTCTCGTGCAACACAGGGCAAACTTTCCAATCGCATCACCTTGAAATACCGCATCTCACTCATCGTGAAATGGAAATGAGTTCTACCGCTTTCTACAAGGAAGTTGGATTGCTTTGGTAGTATTGATAATAGTTCATTTTCCTTCAAAATCGATGAGAATTTCACCGCGAAAAGTAGCCTATGGGGTGGACCGGCGTTGAAAACATATGTGTGCGAAGTTCCGCACTAATTGGTCTACACACAAAAGTTTTTATAAAGAACACACTAACTAACAATTTACCAACACTGTGTAGGTGAAGTGGCATGTGACTTTAAAAGTTAGAACGTGGCAAGCCTTATCTCGCCGAAAGTATGGCATGGACTTTCCAGACAAACCCAGAGGTCATCAAGTCAAAGTTCCAGGACTCTTTCCTGCTTTATATGGTTTTCTAAATTTTATTAACAAAAGTACCAACAAAATTTTGAATGTTTTTTCTCAGTTTCTTCTATCTGCTCTGTTGTTCCTTCCTATGCTCTACAGGGTGCTCAATTTCTGTTTCTTGCGCTTTGCTGGCCTTCGTAAGTTTTCTGCAGCCAAATTGCCCCTCCCCCTCCCCACCCCTTCCTCCTGCCCCCCCCCCACTCCTTTTCGCTCAAAGTTTCCTTTATGAAACTTCCTAAACTGCTGACTTCTTAAAAATATCCAGCCAATGCTCGCCTATGAATCTAAAGTTTGAAACTAAACACTACTCAGAATATTCTTTTTTGACCTCCAAAAATTTCGCAGCCAAATTTTCCTTTTTTATATGGGCTTTGGACAAAACCGCGCTGAAAAATTGCAATTACGTAGTATGGATTAGCAAGGGTTAGTAAGTGGCAAATGAAGCCCTTTCATCCCATCTTGCCTGTTTTTCACACCCGATATAATACTGTAGAGGGAAGTCACGGCGATCGCGGTTAAAGTATCTCAAAAAACTACTTTTTTGGAGAGAAATCCGGAATTCTAAGATGAAGTTTGTTGAAACTAAGTGTTCTAGCTAAGTTTTCGCATCAGTAAGGATTTTTAACACGGTTCGGACCGCGAAATCGCGCGCGGCGAAAGAGAATGTACTTTCAGCCGTTATAAAAAGGTACCTTATTTCGCAGCCTGTGGCCACATTTGTAATCAGCATGTCAGATAAGCTCCATATCCGAAGTTCTGAGTGAATTCGAAGTGTTTGAAATTTGTCGCTTGAGAGGGATTTTTGTGCTTTCTTGAAAGATAGGAACAAGAACTCAGATTCTAATAGTATTCAAAAGTATCCATGTTGTACACGGCACACATCAGTATTAAAACTACGGTTTTTCTCTTTGATATCGAAGCAAAGGAAATGCGACGTCGCACGCGTCGTTCGCGTCGCCGCACTTCGTTGCAACTGTTGTTTGATTTGTGCTCATATCTCCTAAACAAATATCGGCGCCACAACTCTACAGAGTCATTTGAAAAATAGGAGGTTAGACCTTTAACTTAACAACTTTAGACTAACAAGGGAAGTTCGCCGAATCGAAATGGTCGTTTGATACGTGGTATATATCCGGGCACGGGGCTCGGAAGGTTAGTATCAAATGTGCGCCCATTAGCTGCGACGCGTTATTGTGAAGCAAGTTATGGCCCTCTGAAGTTTTTGGCGTATGCATGTCTAGAGAATGCACAAATGCTTCGATTGTGGCGTCTCGGACTCACAGACGACCGGTGAGGGTTCGAATCCTGTTGCTGTCCACACGTTTTGCGTTCTTCTCAAAAATTATTTTTTACTTGTTTTATGTATCATTGAGGTATAGAATGGCTCACACGGGTTACGGGATGATTTTTCTCACGAAAATTCGACCAATGCTTCATATGTAAAATTTTCATAGTACATAGCAACGACTTTTTAGCGAGGCTTTTCATTTGACTTTGAAGATTTGCCAAATCCTCACTCCCACATACTTTCTTCGATTGTACGTAGTATTTAATTGACAATCTCCAAGTTGTATCACGTCGTATTGATTCTTGCTAATGGGCTACCTTGTGAGATTGACACAGCAGGATGTATAATTAGTAGAGTTTAACCACCCGTATGTGTCATTTTTTACGTCAGTAGTGCATAAAACAGGTAAAAAATGAATTTTGAAGGACGCAAAACATGCGGACAGCAACAGGATTCGAACCCTCACCGGTCACCTGTGAGTCCGAGACGCTAACCACTACACCACACGACCACAATCTAACCATTTGTGCGTTCTTTAGCATGCACACGCCAAAAACTTCAGAGGGCCATAACTTGCTTCACAATAACGCGTCGCAGCCAGAAAGATCCCTCAAAGCAGCGTGCTGCACCATGTGCAGCACCGGTCCGAAACGTGTTAAAGCAATTTGCATCACCACGCTCTTATTCATTTAACACACTGACGACCGCTTGGCACACATGGTGTGTCAAGCGATCGTCAGTGTGTTAAAGGCAGCGTCCGAGCAAAATTTCGCCTCTCATGTTTCTGCCATTTTTGGGCCTTTCAGTGGCCCTGATTACAGTTGTGAAGTCCAAATTGTTCAAAACCCCCAAAAAACCTGATTCTTAGGGACCCTCTCCTCAAGGAGCGGACGAGTTTTGGATTGCTCGTCCCTATCGCATGCCAGCTTGAGGAGCTGCACTGCGCGGATGCAGTTGTTGCAGTGTGCAGTGCAGAGCAATGCAACTGCACACCTGCGTGAGCACTCGTCCTCAGAGGTGGTTTGTGATACGAAGGGGCGGTTTGTGATACGTATCACAGGCCCGTATCTCCTTTTAGTGGCCACGTCAAAGGATCAGACCAACGCAGATCGGATACTCATGGGCCCCTCTTTACAACTATGGGTTGTTTCATAATGCAGTCGATGCAGCGGCAGCAGTAGATCGATCGATATCTTTGCCCGCCCTAATATGTCTGCAGCTGCTGCAGCGACTGCAGTATGAAACAACCCTATGTGCTAATCTGGGTGGATGGATCTTGCCTGGACGCTGCCTTCAAATGAATAACAGCGTGGTGATGCAAATGGCGGTCGTCTTAACACACCTTATGTGTCGTTGAAATGGCTACTATTTTGTGTCAAACCCAGCCAGGTGTTTTCTTTTATACTGGAACTAGACACAATCTCTACTGTTTTTGTCAGCATTCCAGTGTTACTGTAGATGTACTGTGTTCAAAATTGTGGGTGGTTTTATCTAGGAAATGTTGACTGGTCCGTGAAACGCCTTGCTCGTCAATGTGTTAAAAAGACATTGTTTTTTTTTATAACTTAGTGGATAATTGTCCGAAAAGTTCTGACACTGTTGCGATGTAAGAATGTTTGGTCAATCGCTTGTGGTGTTCAATTCGATGTCATTGTAAACATTACCGAGAAAGCCAAGTTGGTGCTAAACATAATGGCGTCACAGGTTGCACTTATCATTAGGCGAATGGGTCGTACCATGTAAACAGTCTGGAAACGCGAAAGTGCAAAAATTTAGAGATCTCCACGAACATCCATCGCCGGTTGTTGACGTCGGATGGTCCCCCCTGTGCTTTATCCTAGAGTATGATGATGATAGATAGTTTGGGCTAACATGACCGTTCGACCGCCAATATGTGGTTGCATATTGCTAACATGTTAGTCTTGCTTGTCGCAGGGCAAAGACGCAGAACAAGGTTAGCACCAAACGTGCGGACAGTAGATGCATACTTTTCTGTCAAGTTTTAGTGTTTTGTTATAGCAGGTTTCAGAGGAGAACGCGTATTGATGTGTCACGAATCGATCGGTCTAATTTCGATCTACGCTTCAACATGTGAGGAAGCTTGTTAAGCATGCATGCATTTTCAAATCTTCTGTATACTGACTTGTTCTTGTGCTTTACTGGCAGAATCCAATTTAGTATTACAATTCAATGGATCATGTGATGTGCGCTATAATTGATGTGCTCAGGTCATCGTTGCGTTGAACTTTGCACTAACTCACTTTTATGCTCCAGATCGATGTTGCGATGAGAAAAACATATGGAGACAACGATGAGATGTGTATGTGTACACATGTCGTGTTATGGCTTATGCGCCATTGACTTATTCAAGTATAGGTTTATCTTTACTGAGCATGGGCTTTAGTTATAACTCATATCGAATCTCTACTGCTCTCTTACATCGAATCTCTGGTGCTCTACCATTCTCAGGTTAGGACGAGGCGAAGAAATTTGATAATTTGCTTACGTGAGAAAGTTAGTGAAACAACCAGCATTCGATTCTTACCTGTCATCGGCTCCCAGATTCCTGTAGGGTAGACTTTGCCAACTCGAAGCGCGGCGGTTTTTGATAGCGAAATAGTACAAAAGCAATGCTATAGTGTGAAGATTCAAGAATTCTAATCTTATGACCAGGAAAAGGCAACCTTAAGTCTGGGAGCCCATACCTTTGCAGTGGCAATGAAGAACAGAAAGCATAACGTTTAGTGCAGTTTGCCAAGATAGCTTATAGTTCAATACCTCGCACTTCCTCGTCATTGAGTTTATGTTGGTTTATCTTCTTTGGTTTCTTCGCGTTCTGCTACCATAGTTGTTCGTTATAAGTTTCCTTAGAATACAATCACCATTTGCTCATTGAAGCGGATCGGAGCACAAAGCAATAGACAAGAAACAAGTTCCCTAGTTGCAAGCGCAGTCGTCTGCGCAGTCCTGAACGGGCAAGCAGATAAAGTCTGCCGTGCGAGGGAAAGTCTGCTCTGCATCGTTTTGCTGCGGCGCAGCCGCTGGAAACGCGGCAACCTCTTGTTCTCTGATTCTGCGCGGAATTATAACGCATGAGTTTTCATATCTTTTGCGAAAACAGGCATAGTGCAGTTACAGGAATCTCAATGAAAACGAATTATGGGCCACATTGGATTGGTGGTTACTGACACGCAACTGGCAGATGTTGCCATTCGGAATTATGTTTTGGAGTTCATTGTTGATGCGGACGTAAGCGCTTGTTTTTTAACTTTGCACTGTGAAAGTCAGTTTTGAATTTGTTCAGAATGAATGTTCCCATGAGCTTGCCCAAGTCGGCGAGCCAGCATTCAGATTTGAAGCGAATGGAGCTTATGACCCTGCATACATCAAAAATCAGAAGTATGTGTTTTGGATTGATAAGCTTCTGCACTCTAAATAAATGCTTTAGGCGAAGGTTGGAGCGCCCTCTTAATTTTGGTGACATGATCGAATGGGATGATCGCGACATCACAAACAGAATAATCCTGAAGATTCGGAGGGTTCCAAAACTGTTCGAAAGTCGCATCTATGAAGGCCGATCACAGGTCAGCATTTACCTGTTGACTTTCTTAATTTCCATTGAATGGCTTTGTCATCACTGTTATCTCGTTATCTTGTACTAAAGAACAACCTGGAAATTCGATAAAAGTGTGGTCAGCGAGCGGAGTTGCAGTGTGCATATGACTCATTATTTGTGACAGCACGCTCTAAACTCATAGCATGGCTGGCAGCAGTGCAAAAAGTAAATTTGATCAGTGACCGTTTATTTAATCAAAGCCGAGTGTATGTCCAGGGCGCTGATTTTGGCATTATTTTACCAGATTGGTTCACACATCTTCAACGACAGATTCTGAGGCCTCAAAACCTTGTGCATCCATGCGAGTCTGATAAGGGCCATATAAGCATCATAACTGGAAACGACAATACTTTGTACTTGGATGGTAAAAATTTAAGAAATGATTCTGGTAATCATCTTTCAGCTTCCCAGTGAATGCCATGCTCTGGTAGTTGACTTGTTGATAACTTCAAATATGCAGCTAAACAGTCCTCTTTGTATGCAATTTCGATATCTCCTGTTGCGATCGTCGCTTAAATACTTATGGTAGCAGCTGTTTGCATGTCACATTCATATCAACATTGGCTCGGATACATTCGCGAATAGGAAGATGTGTGAGTTTTGCTAGTGCTGAGTGGCTCAAGAGAAACAGCCTTCCTGGTTTCGACATGCTGGATCATTCTGAGGTTTCCTGCAACATTCGGTCTGGTCTGCCTCATTTGGACTGGTATGACAGCCTATGTCCATCGTTTGCCCATTGCTATGGTAGATGATTCATCAGTCTAGATTTGCAGTATGGCTTGGCTATTCAGTTCCTAACTTTCTTCTGCGATTAGTTCGAACCGTTCATATGGGCTCGTGAGTTTTGTATTTTTAAAAAGCTTTTCAATATAGGTAGAAGAAACCACTTTTATTTGTCGCTCGAATGAAACGTACACTGCAGGCATATTGAACGCAGACTTAGGCGCATGTTTGTGCTCGCGAGCTATCTCTGTACAGAGTGCATTTGCAGTCACAATCAGAACCTGATCTTTGAAGCAGACTTTTTTGATTGTGTTGTTGCTTTCTTAAACGAAATATATTGTTGAAGATGAAAGCTTACCAAGTCAGAACTGAATGGATTCAAAAGCTCTTCAGGACCTGCTGCATCATCCTCTCTTCTTTCCTCGCATCCTCTGACTTTTATCAGAATCTTCCAGCAGTCTCTTTTCTATATTCCAAGATATCATGTGTCGCAATTTACGAGCTGAACTTCAATGATATGGACTTACGCGTGGTTTCAGACTGCTTCACCATTTTCATTCTTTCTCTGATTCTCTGGCTTGCCGCATCCGGTCTTTGCAGTTATTGAACCTTTACTGGAAAGAAGAATAGTTTGAACGTCATAAAACTCAACAGAAACTATCGACATTGAAAAGTTTTTTACACTTGGTGTACTCTTTCACGTGATTCAAGTACTCACCAGCTCTTTGTATGTTTTTGATCCATTTATGAGATCTTTATTTGCCATGGGATTTTCACTCACTCATTGCAATCGCACTTTGATTCGATTTGACAATGTTGTATTCAAAGCCAATTACTTCTGGTTGTTTCATGATTGGACAACAAACGGTAGCTGGTGCACTGGCAGATGACCCTCACTGCTTGGAATGTGCTAGAAAGCAACACATTAGTTAACTTCACGGAAATGAAATCATCCCAGATTTTTTATGGCTATACTTTGGACTGCATGATTGATCTTTGGAAATTCAATCACTAATCCAAAAAGCCTTACTATTATTTGCTTTTCTTCTAGAATTTACATAGTCAACCACGATGTTTCTTGTTGGTAAAATTGTGCATGCAGCAGCGTATCTGAAATCGAAAGCTGGTTGTCACCATATATTTCCATTTCCTCTTCTGTCTTCCCTTAGCATTACTCCTTCCAGCTCCACTCAATTGTTAGCGCACAGAGCGTCCATACTTTCCAGAATTGTTTTGGACTTGCTTAAGAGTCGTGTTTACAACATTTATATGTTATCACTTGAACATCTATGTATATAACTTACTCTGTGTTACAGGTTTGCGTGACAGGTGTAGTATCGCCCACAAACAAATTTCTATTTTGGTCTCAGTATTTTCCTTGTATAAAAATAGGTTTGTGTATCATTGACATTCATCAATCAAGTACGGGAACTAATTTCAGATACCGCTTCATCCAAAGAAGTTTTGCCAAATGTTTCCGTATCTGCTTGGCTCAATATAGCTATAGACAGCAACAGTCGTCTTTGCATCGAGTTCGACTCTTTCGAGAAAGTGGAGTATGAAGCAAACGTGGTTCCGCTGGCGGTGAGTATGTGGTTTTTTCTTTATTTCTCCGTCGTACTAGGGGGTCATTTATGGTTCCGGATATTCTGGAGTAGTGACATAGTTGCTCGTGATCCCGGTCCGATTCGAATCGGCTTTGACTTTTGAATTTGAAAGATTGATTTCGATGAGGATATTCGTCGCTTGCTGTCGCTACTCGCTTGTGACCACTTTCATGCTTGCCGTGGCCACTACGCTTGTTGCGCCCTTGTCGAATTTTATGGATGCGCTGAAACGCATACCACTCGCATTATGTATGGGCAACCACGTCACCACTCTGAGCAGATCTTGCAGAAACTAGGTGTAGGCGAGCAAGAGGAACGATAAAGTATAAAAACGAGGGTGAAAGGTGCGCGGATTATGGGTCACATAATCCACGCGTTTTTCAGCCTCATGTGTGTCCATCCGCTCGCAGATTCAGAGCTTGATCTTTCTTATGAATCCAGTTAGACTGGCATTCGGAAAAGTCTTTTGCTTGAGAATAGGGGTGAGACTAAATGTGTCAAAAAAGGTCTCAAAAGTGAAACTTCGAGCATATCAATCACTTGTCACCGGACTCCGACACAACTCTTTAAGTAAAGTATCCATTTTCTCTTTGCTCATTTTTGTGAATTCGCGCTTTGTGAGGCATCATCTCATAACGATGCGTTTGGCAGCACCGGCTGGCAATTTCTGTCTTTCCCCTTGACCCACAACTCTTCACGGCTGGGATAAAAGGATTGATTTATCCACTTTGTAAAGATAGCCACTAGTCAAAATCCTCCTTAGTTTTTTGATTAAGGCCCTAAAATGTAGATTTTGGTTTCAAATGTCTAGGCACCTTTGGTAGTTCGTTCTTTCGATATCTTCCCTTGATAGGAAGCAAATGTATTGCAGTTTTATTCGCCCGCCACGCTTCGACAACTCCAGAAAGGTCATCGATTTGGGCGAAATCGACTAAAAGTTTCCACATGCAGCTTGTTGTTTCGCTCGCTCGAACACAAAGGGAGAAAGGGACACATCGCAACAGGCAGAAAAGTCGAAAATACACTAGCGAGTGACAAACATGTTTTCATTAAGAGTGAGGACGTTGAATTAACAAAACATTTTAGTTTTAGGTTCTTGAGGTTTATGTAGCTAGAAGGTTACACGTCAAGAGGCGCGATTTTCACTGGGACACCAGTTAGCACATTTCTAGTATTTTCGGAAGTTCTGAAAGCATTTCGAGGTGCGAGGGGAGGAACGCGCCCCCCCCCCCCCGCGAATGGTTCGCGAAATTTTTGAGATTTACTTACACGGGTTATAAAAATATGCAAGTGACTTGTTTATTCTATTAAATAATCGAAATAATTTCTAAAATTTTTCAAAAATTTGGATTAGCCTTGTAAAAAAAAATTTCTCGGGGGCGTGGCTGCAGCGCCCCCTTTTTATAATTTTAGGAATTATGGACCACAAAAATTTTGAGAAGCACCTCAAAAATTTTTTTCGAAATGCTGGCTAACGCTGAGGCTACCTATATTTGTGACCCACCCCCCCCCTCCTTCCTCACACAGAAATCCTGCGACTGTTACTGGTATGGTCGTCTTATAGATTGCTCTTTCTCTCTGAAATAGGTTCAAAACATGAATGTTTGAGGTCAATCCGCGAACATGCAGCTAACCGCAATTTTCCGAATATTTCAGCAATTTTCAACAGAAGCCGTCTGACTTGGCATTTGGTAAAAGATATATTAACTTTCTAAATGGGCTTTTGTATTGGTGAGCTTCCAAGAAATCGCAATCTTGACCGTCCTGACGTTGATAGGGTTTTCTCATACATTCGAAGTGAGAAACATCTCGCGGTTGAAGGAGACCGTTTTTCTCCAATAAGTCCATTTCCTGGGCATAATTTTGTCTTCTTTTTGGACGCTACGCAGAAATCAGCAGGCATACAGTCAGTGCGTACAGCAGGGGTGTAGGCCCTTCTGAACCTGCCCCAATCGCGACGGCTATAAGAGGTCAGCGCTAATTAGAGGTCACTCAGTGATTGGCTAGCTCGCGGGAGCGAGCGGCTGACCTGGGCAGACGCGCTGCGGAGGCGGACGAGTTTCACATCGCTGGTAACCTACTCCACAACAAGATTGTGGAGGTAATTCTCTAGAACGCTCCTAAATTCCCCAAATTCCCTAGAATTCAAGAACTTAAGTTATTCGCTCTACTTCACACTACTTAAATCGCCGGGCACTTTCTAAGGTATTATGTTTTTGACCTATGAGAAATTTTCGATGTCTTTTTCGACTTTTTTTTTTGTTCGATTGCATGCTCTACTCTCCTAGGTCTTTGTGAGTTCGATTGCATGCTTTACTCTCCTACGTCTGCCTCCTTGCAGCATCATCTAGTCACATTCAACTGAAATGCGCACTACATGCATGCCGGTAGGGAAGCGTACGTTTTTTTAATGATGAGTATGAAGTTTTTTTATCACCGTCCATATCGAAAGCGCAATCAAATAAAAATGCATCACCTTCATTTGGTAGCGTGATCTACATGGATTGATTTTGGTAGCGACCTTTTCTTTGCTGCATGCATCATGCTTTTTATAGCGTAAAAATTTCAAGTGCACGTTCGTAAATTTTACTAGGAATGAGAATTTTAAGGACATGACAATTTTCTTGGAATGTTACAGAGATGCACTGAAATGTCAGAAGGAAATACGCATTTGATAACGAAGCGTAGATCTCCAATTTGAGTCATAATTGGCCTTTATAAAGAGTTACACACACTTTGATTACGTGGGCTTTCCTCAGTAACATCAAGCAGCTCACATTAGCAATATGATGTGACGATGCACGACGTTATAAGGATCGCACACACAAGGGATATAAGTAGAAAAAAAAGCAAAAAAAAAACAAAGTTCGAAAGAATAAAGGAGATTCATGAGAAGTTTTTTATGGATCATGAAAATGAAAAGACTTCGAAGATGTCCCATAAATCATAAACATACCTGCTGGGAAGTAGGGCTCAGAATACCAAACATTCAGAGGATGGTAGCTGTGTGGTTGAAATCAGCGTGATTGGCTTGCATTCCATAAGGCAAGAGCCGCACGAAAGAAGTTGGTGATTTTCGAAAATACGAGCCCTTCGCGGAGCACTCGTCCGCAGTCATCGCAGCGCATGCGCGCGCGTCCTAGTTCTAGATTACTGTAGGGGACGGTGGGTTTAGAAGGGCCGTCTCCCGTACAGGCAGCCTAGGAGCGTGGCTCCGTTTGGCAAGTGTGAAGTAATCTCGCATTGGCACGGTTCCAGCCTATGACCTTAGCACATAATGTTGCATTTATTGCTTTCAGTGGACGAGTGGGGTATGGGGCCGTTATGACTAGTCGGACCAAGGTTCGATTCCGCCCCTGAGCCAACACCACCGCTCTATCCTGTGGGGATGATAATTTGGTACCATAGTAATCCAAGAGGATGTAAGCACGAAATTAATTGGTTGCCCCCCCCCCCCGCAGTGTCCGGGCAAGATGGGGGTTTTGGGATTTCAGTGCCATGTGAGAGTGGCCCCCCTCAGACACAACATCGCGTAAGTGTTACGTCATAACTCTCGACCTAAAGCAAGGAAAACGAGCGGAAAGTGGGGACTTACGCCTTGGGGGCGGGGTCCTCCGAGCTCCAAATTCCTGCTAGGCGGAGTACGCACGCCGCCACAGTTGAAATACAAGGTCCCGCAGCGACTCTGCGTCTCTGTCTTGGTGGCCGTCGAATTTCAAATTGTGCGGCTTTGGAAAACGCATGTTTGCGCCATTTTTGCGCATTCTAATATGGATGTTCGGATTCGGCGTTGCGGATAATCCCGCTAAGTGGATTTCTAGAAATTGAGCTTTTTCTCGGATACTGCCTTCAAGTCATTGTGATTGGTTCGCACGCATTCAATAGCCTCTTTGATTAAAAGTAGATTGCGGTCGGCGCAGGCTCGCAAGGGGTATTGATGACATCGAATCCTTTATCCCTTATGATTACTTTTATGTCCCAACTGTACTTTTACTTTCGGCAAGCCTAATCTTGGTGTCTTTCAGCCTTGGAATCGCAACCATTCAAAGTACACAACATTAACCATACCTTTGAATGATGATGACATAGAAAATCAAATACTGGAGCCCGATATTAATAAATACAAAGGTGGCTGGAAGCAGGTGTGTTGCCCATTTTCGCAATACATTAGAATTCTACTTCATATGATGTAGGAGTTATATAACTACGAAGGAATCTGCACTGGTGGCAGACTGCTGTATTGTAATAAACTACCAACATATGAAATTGTCGTGGCTCTAATCAAGAATGCAAAAGATTTTCTTGCGCTAGAAACAGGTACCACACTTGAGCTGTTATAGGATAGCTTAATTTATTTGTTTGCATCGATATTGTTTGCATTTCAGGTGTCAACTGTGAGTTTGACGCTGTATGGAACGATTTTGAGAAACGTTTCATAGTCACGCGTTACAAAACCAGGTCTCGTATACTACGTTTAGCATTGAATGGGCTAGTCAGTTTATTGCGGTATCCTATTGTTGATCCACAGAGCTGCCAACGTTTTGTCACGTTCAATGTTGTTCAGATGAAAACCACTGTAAAGGCTATCGAGGGCTATCCGTGCGTATTCAAAAGTGATGACCTTGGGCTAATAGATGACCCAAATGGAGCTCTTTCGCTTCTTCATCTGTCTCCATATTGCAAAAGTTCCGTTGTGGTAGGACAGGATACTCTTGGTTCTTTTTTTTTCTTGAAACAAACGTTTAGGTTTCACTTAGCGATAGTCCTTCGATGATAAGCCGCTTCCGCTTCCGTGTGGTAGATATCCAGCCAGACAAAGGCCCGAAACTTGAGAAGTGGATGAAAGAAAATACGGTATGTGTTAAGTATTGGGCTAGAGCTGTTACATTTTGCATAAAATTTGATTTTTTCCCGTATTTTTGACGTTCTCTTCCCCCGCTGTTTTCTTTCCTCAATAGCTTCTACTTTAGTAATCCCTATTTTCGCTGTGAAGCATATCATCTTTTCTATGCAGTTCTTTGTTTACCATGTCTGCAACTCTTCTGATTATGAAGCGACAGCCAGGTGATGCTTCATGTTGCAGTTTCTTGCTCCAAGAATTTTTGGCATGTTGCGATTTGTAGGAAATCCTCAATAGCAGCAGCGGTTCGAGAAATCTTGCAGGAGTGGGGGGGGGGGGGACAAAAAACTTGATGAAAATGCGTGGCTTAAACCACGCAGTTCGAGAAATTCTTTGAGATGTTTCCTAGAACTTTCTGAGCTTATAACTCGACAAAAAACTAGGCCTTGCGACAACCACTCCCTCCCCCCGAACACAAAGCTAATTTGAATTTTTGAAAAGTTCAACAATTGTTCCAAGTAAGCGTGAAATTGTGTGATATCCTCTCCTTTCCCCCACCCCCCATCTGTCTTTCACGGCTTAACAACAGCTCGAAGTAGATCGATCAGGATGCGCTAATGCACAGTTTCGAACATGTAGGATAATCGAACCAGCATTCTCGAGTTGCCTTGCCTCAGGATAAATGCATATCCTTTTGATTTATTCACTTTGATGTGAAGTCTTTCGAACAATGGTTATGTTCGATATAAAAACAGAATGTGGGTTTGTTATAACATTAGTTCCATCCAGATCTCCGTTACTGATGCGAAAGGAGTGGTGATTGATTCATCAACCATTTATTCAAGAGATAATGGGAGTATATTTTTCTTGTAGGTTTGGCAATTTTTCATGCATGGTGGTAGATCATAATTTCCGTTTTTTAGCGTACCTGAAAACCTTCGCAGCGGGATCTTTGTTGGTTTGTTAGTGAAATTTTCGGCTGTTTACGACCTCCTTGCCAAGGTATTCCTTTCAACTGCTGGATACCTTCAAGAATCTGAGTCTAATGATTCACATAGCAATTCGTGGTGTCGCATGTCTCATCCACCTCACGGGAAATACCTTTTATCGAAAAGCGTATGCTTCATTTTCCACCAGAACACCATAAAAAGCAGGTGAGTGTTATTGCACTCAAGATAAATCTCCGCTTTGGAACATATGTCATGTTCTTACCCTAAAACATCGTTTATTTTATGTTGTTGTATGTGGAATGGGTTCTTTTTTCAGAAGATTTTCCGAGTTATTGCAAAGAGAGCTCCGAGGGAACTTGATTGTCTCTTAGAATGCGACGAATTTGGTCTTCTTGATGTAGGAGTACATATAAACCTTACGAAAGACAATTCACCTAAGTAGGTACCATCTCATTTTTTGCCAACAGTCCTCATTCACGGCTGTTCAGGCTGGTATGGGTGATGAGATCACTTCCGGACGTCGATCAAACCTCCCGACCATCGCGAACACCATTTATCATTGTAGGAGCTGGCGATCGTGAACCAGAGGGCGTTGCTGTTGAGGTTTGTACTCTTCTTTCCATTTAAGTGTAAGTGATCCGATATAAAGCTTTATTTTGCTCTTGCAGCTTTTCTTCTCTATTTTTTCCATTGAAAGGTACTATCCATTTGGATCTTTGTTATTTATACCTGATTTGTTATCCAAGGGTTTAATATGAGCATCCTCATTTGTGAATGCATATGTTGCAATATCAGTTCTCAATCCATTCATCAAAACTGCATAATGAAAATTTGTGTCTACCTCTGCTCCAGCACAGGTCTCCCAGTGTGGTTTCCATGTTTTGTAGTGGAGTTGCATATCAACGTTCACCCGTTGCTTTTCAGTGGTTTCAACAGCATTTCGTTTCTGTATATTCACTGTTCTTATTGTTGGAAATTAACGACTCCTAACAGAGGCATATCTGTATTATTGAACTCGTCCATCCAACCTTCTTTCCTCGGTCTCTGTTTGTTAGTTTACTCACGAGTGCTCACTGTGACTAGTGCTTTACATACCGTTTTCTCGGATCACTTAGACTTTTTCTAAAAATTGGGTTTTCTCATCTTGGACATTCTCGTATTTAAGCTCGTAATTCGCTTCGTCTGCAGATATAGAAGTAAGCTAGAAGTGTTTTGTAGATACTGATAACGGACCTTGCAATATTATTGGCGAATCCGAATTTGATCCACATAGCAAAAATCTTTTTCTTTTTGAATCCGCTATTGTATTCGGCCGATTTGCAAGTATCTCTTTTGCATGGATTCTTTTATGTTTTTCTTGCAGAATCTTTCCTGATCTTGTAGATCGGTCGATTATTATCAAATGAAGACATTGTAATTTGCTGATTTCACATTTAAAAAAATTTTCTGGTTTGTGGGAAAAATACTGTTGACATCTCACTAGCAGCCCTAAAAGGTAGCAGAGGTTTAGCAAATAAATTCAAATGAGAAATAACTGGATCTGATAGTTTATGTCAATGGTATCATGTTCTCTCATGAGTCTTGTATTTTTATGAAAATCGTAACTTTCTCCAGTAGGTGAACTGGAGAGAATGACTCTTCTTTTTAGCATCTCAGTGCATAAATCATAGTTGACAAATCGCAGCGGCACAAGCTGATAAAGTACTCAATGCGTATTCAGAAAATCTGGTTTTGCTTCCAATTTGTTTGATTCTGTTTGTGTTCTATGAGTTCTCTCAACTAACGGGATGTCACTTAACCTAGTATCGCGTTTCAAAATGAGACATATATTCGGAATCAGCTGCGATTGATTCCAAATATGCTGTTCCTACTGCAGCGCGTTATTCTTAAGGAAGTTATGAGCTTTTTTCTGTGCAAATTTGCCATACTTTTCCAAATGGTAAGGCTGCCTGTAGATGGAAATCTGCCTAAAAACAGTGCTGGGATACCGGAATTATATCAGATTAAGTCTTGTAATTCAACAAGAGAATTTATGCAGCCAATTAGCACTTAGGTGATGATACTGACATGCAGTCGGTCAAAGAGTATGCAAATTTTGGACAAAAGAAAATTGATAACTCGCTTCAGAATGGCATGCCGCAAGTAGGAACAGCATATTTGGAATCAGCGTTCGAAGCTGATTCCGAAATATGTGTCTCATCTTGAACCCGCGATACTAAGTTAAGTGAAATCCCTTGTAAGTAATGTGTGATTGAACAAACATCTCTACCAGAATTAATGATTATGAAATTTCTTGAGTTTGATTTTCGATTTTATCTTCGATTTTATCGAAACGGAATTTCAGTGGTATATCAAAATACAGCGTTTATCATAAACAGCAAAAAGCAAACATTATCGGTTCAATCAACCCTTTTGTCATTTTTTGATGCAACATACATGGGACAACCTAATTTACATGTTTCCTTCTCATGTTCTTTTTGAAAAATCTGGAGTTGTTCAGGAGAGTGCTGAAGAATTCAAGACTCCGAAAAGCTCAATGGAAAAAGGCGGCACTGTTTCTGCTGAAGCTGCGATAGAGGCGGCCATGCAGCGTATGGGGCTTACCGAGGTACTTTGATTACGATTTAATTTTTTTTTTGTTCAATTTCCAATATGCAGTCTTGAACAACATTTTGGATCTAGAAATTTCCTTCAGAAGAAACCGCATTCTGTCGACTGCAATGATGAAGAATGCGCACCTGGCTGCCCACATATGGAAATGATAATGCTGATGATCGACACGGTGACAGTCTTTCGATTAGCGCTTACTTGCATGAAATATAGTTTTTAGGTTCCGGATTTCTTGGAGAATATTGCATACAGCGATCCAGCTCTATACACCAAACTTGCCAACAGCATGTTCTCATAATTTGCCTTACTTGTGTATCGTGGATGCTTTAATTTCGTCATGTATCAACGGTCATAATCGTGAATACTAATGAATTGAAGATTTTGAAAAAGTTGACATAATGAAGAGGGATTAAATTGAGTTTAAAGTTGTTAATTCTGTAGTACCTAGTATGTTGTTTTTCTAAACGTGAATTGTTGTAGATGTATAAACATGGTACTTTTTCTGCCTGTTCAAAGATAAAGTTATTATCTTCTAATGTGAAGCTGACTGGTGTAGTTTTCCACCTCACTTCATTCTCCATCTCATCATCTGAAATGACATAGCTGAATGAAGTGATGTAACCATCAAAGGTGAAACACATTTTTTTCGGGGAGGGGGGGGGGGGGGTGGCTCGGCACTGCACTATTTCCCCAAGTCCATCAAACTTTCTATCGAGCTGGACCAAAGTATTGCACTCAACATTCCCGCAGATTCGAAAAAGTCGAGTTCTCAAGTTGCTGCCTAGACTTCAAGAATCTATATATTGTCCTTTCCACAGTTGCTGCTACTCTTGGTCTGCGTTTCTAACCTGCGGCACGGTTAACATGTTGACAACGTGCAACAACATGTTCACAACATGCAACAACTGTTAACAGAACATTTTGGCTATTAGCCTCAGCGCCAATTGCTGCATGCTGCCAACATAATGGTCACGCGTCCTGCAGATCAGAGACGTAGACCAAGGATAGCAGCAACTGTGGAAGAGACGACAATTCACAGCGATGAAAGATTGGCAAAGTTCAAGTCTCACTCTTTATGTGTTTGAATAAAATGTGGTGAAGTTTCTTTTTTTGACGCTAGTACTAGTATGGAACATCGCAAGCATCGTAGTAGACCATCATTGCCGTTTGCATCGTGGACGAATACAAAAGAGCTCACGGTTAAGAACGAAATAAATATTTATTACCCTCATAACTTAGGAAAAGAAATCATAAAACAACGGAAACCGTATCAATGAGAAGATGAATGATGGGAGACACAGCCTCCTAATCACAACAACAATATACCAACAAATGTAACAAAAAGTCACACTGATGGTCACATATACTAGAAAAAAGAACTAGATCTACAACTCAGTGTGTTCCTCCTCTACTTTAGTCTCCTCAGCAGGTGTCGCTTCTTCAGCTTCAGCAGGTTGCTCTTCTTCCTCTATCACAGGCTCTGCTTCAACTTCAGCATCTTTGGACACATCCAAGGACTGCCGTAGCACTGCCTCGATACGTTCAGCAAAACCAACCTGGAAATAAATTGACTCATGTAAAACACCAATTCTCATAAAGGCTATTCATATACAAGACTGACTTGGTCCTGAAGAGAGAATCCTGATCTGAGGGTGGCAGTCTCAAATAAAAGCATGGCAGTATCCTTTGCTTGTTGGTCGTCAGCATCGGCAACGACACGTCGCAGCAACTCCTTGACCACCGGATGACGCGGGTTGATTTCGAAAGTCTTCTTCTGCATTGCATAGAACTCCTGAGTTGGGTCCTTTGCCTTGGCGTAGGCCTGGCTCTTCATGATACGCTCCATATTTCCAGACCAACCGTAGCTGGAGGCTACAAGAGCAGAAGGAGACTTGACAAGTCGCTGAGAGACAACAGCCTTCTCGATCTTATCCTAAAAACGCCGCATTTTGAAGACACCACCTCGGAATCCATCAAACGAACCTTGAGAGCGGTCTCCTTCAACCACGAGCACAGAGGTTCAAACTCTTTTTCAAGTTCCTTGTGAGCTTCTTTGGCCTTTTCAGAGTCATCAATAGTAACTCCCTCCTGAAAACAGCTTTTCAGAAACAAAAAAAAAATTCCAGGGTAACAGAGATGATCACTCTACATTATATGAAAGCATTTACCTTTGCAACATTCTGGAACTTCTTTCCATCGAATTCAGGCATTGCTTGGATGCAGTACTCGTCAACAGCCTCAGTCAAGTACAGTACCTTAAGAAGATTGATAATTAGGAAATCATCCCCTCGGCGTATCAATTCTATCAACTCAATAAGTACGGTATACGCACGCGTTGGTTAATTGTTCTCACAAATCTCTAATAATTACCTCGTATCCCTTAGCAATAAGTCGCTCGACAAATGGAGATGTCTCGACTTCCTTGCGTGAAAGTCCAGCCATATAATAGATCTTATCTTGTTTGTCTTTCATCCGCTCAACATAATCTGTGAGTGATGTAAGCTTCTCTTTATCTGCTGATGACGAGAATCTGGAAACTAATGATGAGCTTGACAACTAGAACTCTATTTGGTAATTTCACCTTAAGAGCTTAGCCAGCCTAATTCGGTTGCTTGGATCTTCCATGATACCGAGCTTGATATTGGTACTGAATTCTTTCCAGAAATCGTCAAATTCTTGACCTTCGAGTTTTTTCAACATATCCAAAACTTTACGGACGAGTTTCTTCTTGATAACCTTCAGAAGTTTATGTTGTTGCAGGTTCTCACGAGAAACGTTGAGAGGAAGATCATCAGAGTCAACGATACCACGGATAAATGCAAGATACTTCGGCAACATGTCCGCAAAGTCATCGGTGATGAATACTCTTCGCACATACAACTTGATGTTTTCGACAATTTTTCCATAATTTTGGAACATGTCACTCGGAGATCGTTTGGGCACATACAGGATGGATCGGAACGTAACTTCTCCTTCGGCGGTGAAATGTACGTGAGCAAGCGGTTTTTCGGTGTCCTTCGTGATGCTCTTGTAGAACTCGTCGTACTCTTCGGCTTCAACTTGACTTGGTTTTCTCATCCAAATAGGTTTGACAGTGTTGGCTCGTTCCCAATCCCAAGTTGTCTTCTCAACCTTCTTGGTCTTCTTCTCTTCCTTCTCCTCTTCAACAGTACCATCTTCCTTTGTTTCTTTGACTTCTTCTTCGACAGGTTCATCAACCATCTCAGTCTTAGACTGCCATAAGTAGATATTGAAGTTGATAAACTGTGAGTATTTGTGTACGAGGTTTCTCAATGTGTCGGGCTGTAGGAAGTCGACAGCCTCCTCCTTCAAATGTAGAGTTATTTGGGTACCACGTTTGAGTGTGGGTCCACGTGGATCTTTGGTGACAGTAAAGCTACTGGAATCTGACTCCCAAATGTACTGTTCATCATCATTGCTCTTCGAAGTGACAACAACACGATCAGCAACGAGGAAAGCAGAATAGAAACCAACTCCAAACTGTCCAATCAGATCCTAAAGAAGGGAAACGATAGCATTTAAAAACGAATGCCCAGTCCAATAAAACATACCTGTTGCACATCAGCAGAGGTAGAGGTATCCATCAGCTTTGACAAAAACTCCGCAGTACCAGAACGAGCAATTGTTCCAAGATTACTCATCAGTTCAGCCTTGGTCATTCCGATACCAGAATCAGTGATATGAAGCAGTCTATTCTCGCGGTCTGCCTTAAAACGAAAGAAGTTCAAGAGGACAATCTAAGGTTGTGTAGAAATAATTACCTTGATTCTCACACTCAAGTCCTCGTTCGCTTGCAGTGCACTGGGATCAGTCAACGAAATCAATCTAATTTTGTCTAATGCATCAGCAGCGTTAGAGATGAGTTCTCGAAGGAAAATCTCCTTGTTGCGATATAGAGAATTGATAATCAGCTTCATCATGCGGTTGACCTGAACAAAAATATTGACAGGGTAAGAAACTCGGCAAGCAACCCAAACAGATAATTGGGACAAAATCGTGATAAAAAGTTGTCAAGTCCATAACATTTAGCTGGACTACAGAAGAAACGAATCAAAGCCATATATTTAACTAGTCACCTCCGTTTGGAATTCGTGCTTCTCAGCTTTGGACAGCATTTCCTTAACTTGTTCAGAAGTAAGTCCATCTAGCTTAAGCGTGTCTTCTTCGCTGAAAAACAGTGGTTTGAATAAGATCTGATTATAACGCACAAGATGGATGTACTGTTATTATCTCAATTCACCATAACTCTAAGTTTTTCAATAGATAAAAGAGATCCGGCGAGGGAAAAAGTTAAGTCCCGAATAAACACATACGATTACGAATACACACTAAGGCAATTCTTGTATGAAGCACAGAAAGGCGAAGGACGAGTTGCGAAATTGAGCAAGTGAAATTCGTCCTGAATTTCACAGAGATAATCTAATCTAATTGGTTTGTTCGCTGCCGATGGCTAGCTCAGCCAATATGCCAATATGGCGGCTTACCCATACAAACAATTCTGACCCGCCACCCACAGTATTTGGTGAGCGGAGCAGTGTCAGTCATTCCTTACAGTTGAGTCCTGATACTGATGTCATTCACATGTAGCCTAGTGGACCGAACACACTCTAGTTTCATGCACGTAAAGATGGATTTGAGGACGAAACTTAGAATGTACGCAAAACAGCCAATTTTGGAGCACATGATGATGGCATTATGGAGGTGGTTTTTCATTTGACAAGAACTATCCGCACACCCAAGAACACCAATCTGTAATATCTACTGTCTGTGTCAACTGCATAATCTCTCCCGCATAGGAAATACGCATGCGCCACGCGAGGGCCCCGCGTGCGGACCTCCAATCGATGCGGCCAATATGAATGCAGGAGCCATACGCGCGAACGTTGCGTGAAACTCTGACGTGGCGATTGCGCTTACGGAAAAGGGAGCACATGACTGACACATCCGTACATTTGTACGCATGTAATGTAATGTAATCAGTGGGGGACGCAAAAAAAGGCCTTTGAAATGATCCAACAATAACAACAACAACATCGACTAGGTAGACTAACAAATCCTTACACTCCCAGACAGTGAATCTCTAAAGAAGAACTGTCAATACCCTACCTTCCCGCTGGGAAACTGTCTAATGTTAACTATCATGGGTCCAAAAAGTCATCTACACAAAGAACTTCAACAACCCTCAGTGATAAGACCTCATTGTTTGTCTTATACTCATCAAGATCACAATCCGGGAAGTCAAAGGCGGAAGAAGGGTGACGGTCACTAGTCAAACATAGGGCACTCCCTATCCGACCTCACACGACCTGGCACTACAAATACGCAGCCAGCGACTAGCAGATAGACTCGAAAGAGAGTTATTCTCTCAAGATCTGATGTCCAACATATCGTAAAATCCCGTCTGCGTGAGCTATAATCCTGAGCATTTCCATTTCAATATCATTGGTTTTAGCTTTAGTTGAAGCCTAACATAATCCCAGTTCGGTTTAGTACTAGTCCGTCTCTCGTGAAAATAGAAGTACAACGAAAGTCTCTTGATGATGTAAACGTTCACAAGGAACTTCCAACGTCTTCCTCTAGAAAATGTTCTCAAAACTCATACTCTCGCTATTTTGCAGCCTTCAAATAAAACATGACCTTCACCATTCAACGCTGCAAAGATCTTTCCAAAGCAGCTAAGGCAAGCAGAAAAAGGATTTTTGCAAGTTCAGTATGTTTGCGCTAGCAGTTTTTTGTTGGCTGCGGTGACTGCTAGGCGTGTGAAAGTAGGTGAGCTCTGAAATTAGCGCGTCCTTATGCGATTGTCTATTTACGATTCTGCGAAAGAACGACCCAGTTGTACGCAAGAGGGTTTGAAGTTGAGATTGGAGACTATTTATAAGAAGGAGTATGTGCCAGTAGTATATATTTCGACTTCATACAATGAAGAATAAGGGTCTCATACACCTTATGCACTTAAAATTATATCACAGGGAAAATGCAAGCACGTTCATTGTTTTTAGGCTGCAGCGGCTAAACAAATATTGTAATGAGTGAAATTGTTCACTGCTACATCAGTGGTGTAGTACAACAAAACAGCCACCAAATAATGAAATTCATCTATGACGTGTATGTGCGACATTGTTACTATTTCAAGAGGAGAATCTAGCGCGCAAAGTTCATCAGATTAAAGGAATATACACAAGAGGGTTGGTGCAGTGCTCTCTCAGCAACGCTTCACCTATTTCGATACACTATACAAAGAAGCAAGGTTTAGAACGTTCTCAGAACTCTTAAAAGTCCTACATGCATATATCGACCAGCTCTTAAAGATAAAAGGCATTATGGAGTTGATGGCGTTATATAAGGACCGTTCCTGTCACTTTCACGATAGCACTACTGCTCTACGACGCGCCGTTATCACATTCAAGTAGCAAACTGGAGAGCGATTACAGCTCTTACAGTCCTCAAAATAACCCTAACAAGGGAATGATTAGTGGACGAAGTGGCCAATCCAAACAAACTGCATACCATGGTCTTCCCTAGCTGCCGATCGCTTTTTAAGATGAAGCTATGGGGCAATAAAGACCATCACTTTGCTAAGAAATCGTGCATGCGAAGTGCGGATTTGGAAGTACAAAGTCATGTTCAGCTCAGTGCTGGGCCGAAACATGCAGCTAGGTTACTCCATGTAGCCTATACCCAAAGGGCGGCTGAAAGGGCAATAATGTGCTCAGTTTCGGGTCGCAATAAAACCATAACTTCGCCTACAAAGGCGTTCGGCAGAAACGGAATACAGATTTGAGGTCAGCTTTGCATGCTGCATCCAATGGTATAAAGCTTGTTTGGATTGGCCACTTCGACTTCTGACCGTTCCCGCGCAATTTGGTCAAAGAAAGTAGGAAATGATGATGAGACTGAACGTTAACTGTAAAGAAATTGAGAGACATATGTACTTGCGCGCATATCAAGAAATCAAACTTTCGCGTTTCTCCTCAAGGTTGCTATGTACCACTTGAGATGGAAAACAGAGATCAATTTGTGAGAGACATGTGACTGTGTAGCTGTAAGGTTCCATGGATAGGATGTGTACTCATTTGCGACTGCAAATAAGGCAATATAGCATTTGATGCTAACAAAAGAAGCAACATAAGTCTGATCGGAAGTTTTGTACGTAGCAATTAGTTGTTTCATGAAAGGAACTGAAAAAGAGCACCTACCTCTTGATAGTTTCTTCTCCAGCTTTGGCATCTTTAGTTTCCGCTGTTTCAACTTCATCTTCGGCATAGACAGATGACGAACGGAATGCTAAATAGGAACGTGGTGAATGTCACAGTGCATTCATCGGACTATACATTTTGTTCGCGATTCTAGAAGTGCGAATGCAGACATTCAAGCATAGTGCGTCGCGTGCATTTAGACAAAAAAACTCCAAGCGCCCCAGTTAGCGTCCATATGGATCAATCGTTAAACATAAAAGCCACTTACCAAAAATGGCAAGAACGGCGATGAGAGTTAGGAGGAGAAAGCGGCTCCGCATGTCTCCGACCGGCTACTAGCTGACCCAGCTGTGACGAGTGCGGCCCACCGGCTCGGATCAGCAACGTAGTGCCCGCCTCCGCCACGCCCATCGTGTTGGCAGCTCGCCCGTCTCGCCTGTGCCCTCATGATCGACGCACTATTTCTCGCACGCGCAAAGGCTGCACACTTTTCTGACGGGCTGTGACGACGTCGACTTAATCGAACCAATGACGGGCGGATCCGTGGCAATGACGACCAATAGCCGTCATGGGCGGGACAAACGTTCACAAGTTTTACACGTGTCCGCGTCGGTCAGCTAGCTCCTTACTTGTTGGCCCATTTCGTTGGAGAATTCGTCCAGTGCTCTGTTTATCTCAAGGTTTCCAGAAGAGAATCTTCCGAATTCGGGGACACAATGGAGCAGACAACTGCTGCCCCAACGACTGCGAATGCGTCTGCCAATATCACTTTCACCTTCGAGGAGCAGGTTAGTATAACTTTGTCTATTATATAAGCTTTTCAATCTAAATCTTCTTCGATGTTTGCTTTGGAGGATCTTTTGGATAATGTTGAAATGTCATAATGTCAAACTTACCGCTATTTGTTATCAATTCATGTATTTTTTATCGCGTCTCAAGTCTATATATTATTTGTGCCTATCACAGCTTCAAAGTAAAAGACAGAAGGTTGGAAAGATTATAGAAATCTTCTTCGGGAAAGTGGTTCCAAAGTAGCACTCCAACAAAATTTTGACACTATTATAGTATGAATCCTCTCAACTTGGTTTTTTTAGTAATTGGAAAGTTGACACTATCTGTAATTTCGTCTGTTGTCTCATTCTAGACAAAGTGCCGTACTGTCTAGGTACTCTTGTCAGTAAATTTTTGTGACAGTGACTTCGTTAATAACTTTCTGGCAAACTCTAGGCTTTGACCAACTTTTTTCTATCATTTTCATCACCGCAGTGGAACCGCTGTCATGATGTCGGTCACCGGTCCAGTTCATACCACCTACTCAAAGGTTCACGACAGCCTCGAAGTTCTGACTATGGGCGCCGCTGCCGTAAATGGGTAGCAGTTCGCCGGCGTGTTTTTTCGAACTTAGTTGCGCGCAGCAGTAATATTTACAGTTCTCGATCTCCACATTCACAAATACACGAGAAATTACTCCATTTTTTTGATTGGAAGGGAATTTCTCAGCGGACAAACATGTTGATTCGAAAAGATCTTGGTTTCGTAAGAAAACTATTTTCACTCTTTTCTTTTTTTTTGAATGGGAAAGATTTCCAAAAATTTGCACACGAAAAAGAAAAAATTTCTTTGTTGTCGCCGTCGTGAACGACACGTCACTGCTTGCTTTGCTGTTACTCGAAAATTTGCTCACTGCCAAGTTGGAACGGACAACTAAAACGGAGTTTCACACAGATTTTCTACCAATACATCGCGTGATTGTTGGAACTTGCCTGGCACAAGGCATTCATAATTGCGGAACACGCTGAAACATCAAAGCAGTATTCGTGTGATTTATCATTGGAACAAGTGCACTATATATTAATCTTGAATCGTTCATTACAACTTGAAGTGCATTCGAGAAAGTTTTCAATTTTTCTACACTGACCTTTCAACGATATCTCCAGTTTTATTCAAGTATGATCTTGTAAACTGTGTTTTGTTTTCTAGCTTTTTGCTCTTTAGGCAATGGCGTCTTGCTCGCTTTATGCGATGTCCCTGTTGTGCATCATTGCAGGTGGTATCCGTTCTGCGAATTTTGTGAAATATCAAATGAGCAAGAAACGGTTACTTGAGGTTTGTTTGCTCATCAAGTTCCTTTCCCACGGTTTTGGCCATCAATGTATCTGTAGAACTCAGGCGTCCATCTCTCTGTCCGAAGCAAAAAAGTTCCCTCTCACTGCTTCAGCCGTTCTTTTCTCTCTCTATCTTTTCTTCAAGTGGGTTCCCGTCCGAAAACTGCTCTGCCTTCTTTAAAAAGTTGTATTCCAGACCTGATGGACGCGAATGGCTTATGGGACTTGGTGGTAGGCATCTGCCTGAAACCTATTCGGCAATGGTCAACAAGACGCTTGCTAAGAGTGAAGGACCAGGGCTTTTCTCAAGGTAAAATGTTTCCAATGTGTTTTCTTCTCGCATACCGCAGTTTGGATTCTCTTATCGATATATGATTCCCGGCCGTTCTTCAACTAGCTTCTTTGAGCGACTTTCACTCTTCTTTTGTTCAGTGGTGTAAATCTTTTAGTCCTCTCAAAATATCTCTCTTAATTTGCTATGCATCTTTCCTATATGATGATGACTTTTTTGACTGATTATGGTGTAAGGATTTGCCTGGCTATCAATCTGCAGTTGCAAGTACTTTTTATACTGTAGTAGCCTAGCTAAGCCTAATCGACTACTCCAGACCAACTTTAGCATCAATCCCAAAATATGTTTAAAAATGTATTTAGAATCGGGCAACGTCTGCCCGAGAACATGCGGCCATACCTGGAATATGTTCCTTCTCTGACCAAAGATCATTTTATGAAGTTTTTATTAGTTCTGCTCTGCTACGAAGGTAAAATAGTATGACTGGTAATTTTTTCCCAATTCGGAGTTGATGTTTAGGATGTGTGGCACTCGCGGCTATTTTGAAACCACTGTTCTCGTTTGTTCTTTCACGGCTTCCTATTGGCGATCGTCGGCCTCGGTTAAATCTACCTTATTTCCTTTCTCTCAAACAAGGGAATAAAGAAATGGACCAAGGAGATATCGAAGATGCGAAGAAGAGTGACTTTGTAAGTCTACGGTTTATCTTTTCACCATCTCGCTATATTTCTGTAACTTTTATTGTATTTCATTGGTCAGCGTTAGCTCATATCTCGTTACAAATTCTAAGTTCTCATTTTATTGTCGCCCTTAGACAAGTCGCAAACTAACTTCTTTTCATAATCATTTCCCATCTGGTTCGTTCGCCACTCTGTTCCGTTTATTCTTCTGATGTTCTCATTTTCGTTCATTAGCGTTTATATGTCCTGCCGTCATTTACAATTTTTTAAGGAGTATGCGTTCAAAATTGAAATTGATACGCACGACATTGTGGCGATTGCTGTTTGTTTACTGGTTGGTATCTCGCACATCTATAGACGCCACTGGATTACAAACAATATAATAGGAATTGCATTCTCCATCTATGGTATTGAGAATCTTCATTTGAGTAGTTTCAAGGTTCGCTAAACCTTTACTTATATGTCAGTTCTAACTTTATCTGGTGGCTACTACTCATTTTCAGCTTCATTAACGCAAAGTTTAGGCAGGATCTCTTCTTCTTGCTGGTCTGTTCATCTACGATATCTTTTGGGTCTTTGGTACTGATGTGATGACTTCCGTTGCTAAGGGTATTGACGCACCCATTCTTTTGCAATTTCCACAGGATCTTCTTAGGCACGGATGGAAAGATGCCGTCAAGCACAGCATGCTAGGTGAGTCATTTTCGACCTATCATCAATAAAAGCAACATGTTTTTTTTTGCTACAGGTCTGGGAGATATAGTCATTCCTGGCATATTTATAGCTCTCTTAAGGAGATTTGATTTGAGAATCACTGAAAACTCGGGACAGAACAAGGGAGGGCGGTAAGATCTTTTCAGAAAATTGAACTTTAGATTACAATATCATGCAAGAATTAGAGTTTCTTTTATGAAGTGATTGTTTTAGATACTATTTCATGGTTACTATAATTGCATACGCTGTCGGTCTTCTCATCACTATGCTTATCATGCATCATTTCAAGGTATGTGAACTCAGTCAGCTTCACATCTTCCATTATTTTGTTCAGGCTGCGCAGCCTGCTTTGTTGTACCTGGTTCCATGTTGTTTAATCGTTCCGCTGTTGTTGGCTACAGCCAACGGAGAGGTGAAGGTAGGTTGGCAGAGTTGCAGTTTGTAGACCTACGCCTTGAATATACCGGATTTTCATTATGGCTCCTTGTTGTACTAGGCTGATACATTTAGATGACTAATTTTAGGAGCTCTGGAATTATAGTGAAGAGCATTTAACAGATAAGAGTGAGACGGAGAAGAAGAAAGTTGATGCAGAAAAGAAAACGAACTAGGCAAATAGCTATTTGTTGTATTATAATGAACAGCTTGTTGTGTTTTGTGGCTGATGCTAGTCTGTTTCTCTCTGGGGAGTTGTTTTAGCTTGCCGTTGCAAGTATCCTTGTTTTCGGTCTGTCTCGGGTGTCTATACGTCCATTTTCACATCTTTATTATAATTCTTCCAATTGTCATAACAATCACAATCCTTGCAAGAATCTTACGCCGTTGTTGGCATGTTGCATAAATTTCTATCTTCTGACATATCAATATACATCGATGGTTAATAATGAGGACATAAGTTCTTGAGGCAAATATATCAGATCACTGGGAATGTTTGGCTGTGAATTGGCCTGAACTTTTAAGGCACAAATAAAGCCTTCGTTATGAAAGATCCGTTACAACATGGTTAATGAGGAAGTGAATCGATTGAAAGATTTCGGCTGTTGATCACAACATATCACGCTTTATTATAAAACAACTGTGTCGATTTTGTCCCTTTGTTGCTTATGCACTAGGACAAAAACGGCGGCGAACAGGCTGCAAATAAAGGAGCAGAACAAGCATGCCGCCGCTCCTCCGCTCCAATAGTACGCCCATCCGAAGTGATACTAAAAAATCAATGTTGACGAAACTGTAACTCTTTAAACATATAGCAAGTCTGAGGTAAAGAAGAGGTTTTTTTTCAGGCTGTCGTTTCTTAAAGGCATCGTCCACCCAAAATGGAGGTTGGCGAGATTATGATGGCATACTAGTGTGGGCGCTCATACTAGACAAACCTCCAAGCTTCGCCGCAAAAGACTGCTTCTGAAGCGAGAAATCCGCTCCGGAAGTAACAAAGTGGGCGGGGCGCCCCCGGCGGTCCACTCAACTCGAATTCAATGTTTTTGTCGCCTTCAGGCCTTCTGAAAGCCCTGATTCCAAATATGGAGTCGAAAATCCGCGAAACCCCCAAAAATCCCTGTTTGAGGACCCTCTGCAACAAGTGCAGGCGAGATAAAGCATGCAAGTGGGCGGGGGGACCGGGGGCGCCTCGCCCACTTTTCTTACTTCCGGAGCGGATTTCTCGCTTTAGAAGCAGATTTTTGCGGCGAAACTTGCGGGTTTGTCTAGTATGTGGGCCCACACTAGTATGCCATCATAATCTCGCCAACCTCCATTTTGGGTGGACGGTGCCTTTAAGTAGGCGCCACACTAGCCGATTGCCTCCTTCAGCAGGACGATGCACAACTAATAAGCTGATGTTATTCGGCGTCTTGTAAACGGAAATCGAAGGGGCTTCTGTGATGAACGCAACAACAGAAGATTTGAAAAGATGAAAGTCTTGCGAATGAGAGAATAATAGAACGGCTTACTAGCAAACAATTTTGGCTGGGGGAAATCGCGCTTCCGGAAAGGAGAGAAACAGAAACTACCGCAATGGATAGAATTGTCTAAGAAGACATCACTTTGGGATAGGGGACAGGAGCGCAGTTTGAATGCCTACACCTAATTTTGATGTCGCTTGGTCGTACCAATGCGCAAAGATTTCTCTCAATATGTTTGAAATGAAACCGTCCGCGGCATCTGCATGAAGCGGCGCATTCGCTACGCGAGGGGTTTATTTTACATAGACACGCGTACCTGGAACTTTGCCAGCCAGTAAAAACTGTTTAGAGAACGCGCTGGTTCCTCCACGTGCAAAGGCACGTAAACGTGACGAAAGCGGCGCGCGTCATGCTAATTTTGTACTTGTTCCGATTGAGAAAAACTGTATCTGCGTAACTACGCCATACAATCAGTTTCAATGGATCAAAATTGGTCTGGCACGATTTACTTCCCAAAGTATTGCGTCACATTCGCAGTACACATCATATTCTGTAAGAACTTATCATCATGCGATATAATTATTCTCTTCAGCATCATGTTGGCAAAATGCCCGTCGCGCCACGTACGCCCAAGCTGCCAACGAATTGGCGTCTGTGGGTTGCGTCATTTCACGTTGAAATAGTGTGCATGCACTTTCATCCTAATTTTAATTCGGAAAAAGTGTGTCTCGCGGTGCAGCAAGTGTGAATGGGTCACAAATTTCTTTAAACCAAATATTTAGGAGTGTGTGACATTAGCCGCGTACCTTCGTTCGAAATTTTTTTGTACCCCCCCCCCTACTGAAGTCCTGGGACCGCCACTGTGAGCACGATATGACATCTTGCGCGGAGGTCTGTGGAGAGGGTGGAAGTTGATAATTCTCTAATTACTTTGCTATGCCGCGCGGGCTGTAATGCAGCTTCATTGCCTGACGTTTCGGCAGGACGGGCGCTCATGGCCAAACCCAGCAACCCTCCTACTTCGTTGTTTATTTTGCATACTTACAGGGCTCTTAGGGAACGGCCATAGGTTGTCGGTGTTGTCGGGGTTGCGAGGTTGCCGGTCGTTGTAGGACCTATGATAGCCTCCACGTTTCGCGCGCTCTCTAAACTGTCTCTGACCCCGACAACACCGACAACACCGACAACCTATGGCCGTTCCCTTAATTGCAGAGGCGTTTGCGCCAGCGGTCGCGCGACCGCGTCGCGCCCGAGCCGGTGGCGTGCCAACTCCCAGCGCCGTAGCTCAAATTCTGCAAAAAATCGATAAAATCGATATCGATCGATGACGAAAAGTAGCCTATGACACCCGCCGGGGCCCGAAGTGTATGTGTGCCAAGTTTGGTCCAGATCGGTTAAGAAATGGAATTTTCTATTCGGAACATACGTACAGACAGACATACAGACATACAGACATACAGACAGACATACAGACATACAAACAGACATTCAGCTTTATATATAAGATTCGTCGCACGCAACGACTGCGGACATATCGGCGTCTCTCTAACCAAGCGCTCTTTCGTTTTTCTTACATCTGCTGCCTCTCCCATGCACGAACTATCTTGGCTGGACGCAACCGCACCCAGTCTTTGCGTGTCATGAATCGTGTATACCTAAGTGTTCGGCGATAGGGTGAAAATTCACACCTCAGCACTCGCCCTAAGTTTTCTTTTGCCATCCAAAAGCGGTATTCAGCGTGACTTTTTCATTTATATTCTCGCGGATTTTTTTGTCATTTTTCACACCATTGCGTTCAACATCAACAATTCATATTAGTTTCTCGCGCATTTGCATCTATCTTTTGTCTTTTCTCATTAGATATACGATGCGAAGTTAATTTTTTCAAGTTGTAGCTGCGGTCTCATGCTTCTTCGCGATATCCAGATATATACGCTACGCATATTACTCATTATGAGTTTTAAACATTCAAAAATATTCATTTTGACTGATGGCACAAATCAGAAAGACGCATCACAACACGAAAGAGGTGAAGTTCAGGAAATCTGCATCACATTTCATCACATTTCATTTCATCTCCGCAAGAATAACAAGTCGAAAGAGAAAAGAACTGTTCCAAAAACTTCCAAAAAAAAGGAATCGAATTCCAGCGATATCGCCCCGTCGCTGATTTCGAACCGGCGACGCGATATCGCAAGATTTCGGCCAGATCGCGGAAATATCGCTGGAATAGGTATGGCCTGGGAAAACAAGGTCCGTGGTGACATTCAAGATTTGCCGACATGCATAGGGCGTGATAGTTGTCCTATTGCACAAATCGCATCGCGATTTTTTTTGTCGGTATGGCAAGGGCTTTACAGTTTTATAAAAAGGCTACAGTCCACGTCAATTACGAACTGTTCTGCGCATCGCAACGGGAAGGTTTCGCGTGAGGACCTTCTGTCGTCGAGATCAATTCAAACGACCACACCGTACGCCTTGACGTGGCCCACCCTCCGTGGCTATCGCACAGGCTGGCCACGAAAAATGGGAACAGGACGTGTTTGACACTTAGGCTTAAGGCATACCGCGATTCCAGTCGCTGCGAGATCTGGCAGTGCAGCGACTCCTCGTAACTGGTCGTTAGCACGCTTTGCAAGGGCCAGACTCAAAGCTTTTGCTATAACTTACGGTAGCTACGCGCCTATGCACTTAGGACCCACACACAACTGATCTGTAAATATCTGGCAAACTGCCAAGTCGCGTAGATGTAGCGACTTGACGAAATCGCGCGAAGTATGCCTTAGGCCTTACTGTGCAACTAATTTTTGCGATTTATACAAAACAACTCACTCGTATGATGTTTCCATTGACGGTTTCGTTCTGGTTATCCTTTAGTTCGTTGAAATACGTATAGACAATGAAGGCTGACACTGAGCAGATTGCTGTAAAGGAGCATTCTCAGTTGAGGTGTAAGGTGAAAAAGAGCGACTTACCGGCCGCAAGTAACATCACGCAATGAGCGAGAGCACCAAATGGAGTGAAAATGCTGCATATCGCAAAGCATATCGCGAGAAGACTACATGCTATTGCACATGACAGTAGTATCAATGTAGCCAGCTCGAAATCTGTAAAAAAAATCGAAGTACAATAATAGCAGGAAGTGTGAGTAGTCTAGATGTCCCTTGATCGCAAAATTTTCTGCTTTTTAGGAAAAGCGAAATGCTACAACTTCTGTAAATAGCGTCTTGTTTTTTTTTTTCATCTACTACTCTGCTAAAAAAGCGAAGCACAAGACACTGTGACACATAGTAGATCTTAAAGAGTAAGTCCGGGAAGCACATAAAACACAATACTTCTTGGAATTGGCTCTGACTTTATATCAAGCCTTTCTATCCAAAAGAACTCGGGACAAGGAAGGAAATATACATTTATCAAAGATAAAACCACAATGCATTTTATAAACCATTGCAGCCGAGGTCAATATAGAAATTGATGATATGTTAATGGTATGCTTATTTAAATTCGCTTTTTTTTTCATAGCACCTGAGTGTGATTATAAGCAAACATATAAGTAAATAGATATTGCTGGGCTGCACTTGTGAGCTGTAAAATGTTCTCAAATTCGTCTGTTCGAAATCTATACGATCTGGAATCTGTTGAGTGAATTCAGTGCACGAGCTTTTTCCTACTTTCGCTAATTAATGAGAAAGACCTGCAAGTGACAACATTCGAAAATGGGGAAGGTGTTCCTGGCAAAGTGAGAGAACTTCACAAGTGATGCCTGAGAACTACCAGAACTGAGAAATTCCGTAAGGGCATCTTACAAGAGATATTTCAGTAATCCCGGAAAAAAAGCAGTGTAGCTCTACGACGAATTACAGATACTACCCACTATCATATACCGTCCATGATCCAAGGATATATAATTGTATGTGCTTTTGCAAGTTTTCGATTGTTCAAAGCCAATACATAGCACTCGCATTCGTCGCTACGGCTTCGTCATGCTAATCAAGCACATGAAGCCTTTAGGAAACCCCACAATCCAGAAAGCATGAGGCTTCATTGCTCGTGGATAATAGCAGGGAAGTGTAAATGCGCTTATCCTGGTTTTCTACAGTTTTTCTTAGATAGGTTCAGCTAATATACTACAAGTATCTGCTACGTTGTCAAAAGCATTCCCTTTTGACAACGAATCAAATTGAAATTTTCATGAAATCAGTGCATCGGTATCAAAAGCTGAATGTCTGTTTGTCTGTCTGTCTGTCTGTACGTATGTTCCGAATAGAAAATTCCATTTCTGAACCGATCCGGACCAAACTTGGCACACATACACTTCGGGCCCTGGCGGGTGCCACAGCCCACTTTTCGTTATCGATCGATATCGATTTCAGCGACTTTTTGCAAAATTTGAGCTACGGGGCTGGGAGTTGGCACAGGGGAGTAATCGAGCATGCTGATTACGAATACAACATTAGTTTTTAAAATCGTGCATTACTTTTATCGATTTTATCGATTTTTTTGCAAAGTTTGAGCTACGGGGCTGGGATCGGCGGAGCCGGTAAGCCAGCTAGTAAGGGAATAAAATTTCAGCACTTATCCACCTCTATGCAGTTGCAGCGGTGGAATCCGGCCAAAATTGCGGGATTTGCGGGATTTAGCCACAACTCCTTCTAAAACAACTTTATTTGGAATCTGCAAGAAGATTTGAGTTCAGCTTGATGATACGAATAGTATACATTATGCCCGTAATCCGTGGTGATAAGGCAGACATATGATACTACTTTGTTATTTTCAAAATTAATTCATATGAGCAACAATACCTGTTGATAATCTCATAACACATGCCAATACAATACAATGCACCACAGAAAACGGGCATAATGTATACTAAAAGATTCGTCTCATCAAGCTGAAACCAAATTTGCTTGCGGATTTCAGATAAAGTTGTTTTAGAAGAAGTTGTAACCAGGGTCAAGCAAGGGGTGTGGCACACGGTCGCTGTGGCTGCCACAGCTTTTTAGGGGTGGTGCCACACCCCATTAACTATATCAAAAAAACATTTTTAGCGAACAATATTTATATAGATCGATAGCCTAAACCCCGTAGATTCCATAGGCATGTTTTGAGCTTGATACGTCTTCTTAGCTCTGAGTAATATTTGGTGAAAGCACAGCCAATAAAAGCGAAAAATGGGAAAAATGAGATTTTGGTTGGCTTCTAATTCCACAGTTTGGAGGTCTTTTAGAGCGGGATTTCTGATATGCACAAAGAAGGAGTAGTGCTTTGTCTTGTGCAAAAACGGATAGCTAATTCACCTTTGAAACAAAGTTAATCATGTTGGAATTTGACCATTTCACTCAGGTAGCCTAGCATCTTGAATCTTCAGAATTCGCTCAAACTTTGTCTACAGGGGTTAATTGACATGCTAATTATGGATATGATACGAATATCATGTTATCACTATTATCAGATTATCAACTACGACCCCCTCCCCTTTTGACTCCTCAATACGACCCCCCAGGTGTGGCGTGCCACCCCATGCTTGACCCTGGTTGTAACTAATCCCGCAAATCGCGCACTTAGAAGATGCAACCGTAAATGTGACCTCACCTCCATACATTGCCTTGTACTCGATTTTCGTCAGATACCTAGGAGCAGCGGATCGCAGATAGCAGACGTCAGCCATCGAGTCGTCTGATAGTCATAAACATCCGTTTTTCCTTATAGAAGTGTTTTTTAGTCTTACCTGTGCCGTAGCGGCCAAACTGCGATTCGAAACAGTATCGTATCAAGCCGTAGTATCGTGTGCCTTTCAGATGCTCGTGGTCCGTGATGTAGCGAAAACTAACCGAGAACAAACAGCTGGTTATAATGGCTACGGCCAGCAGGGCCAGCAGCGACGAACTGATCAGGAATATGAAGCGAGACTTCGATACGACACTCATCTCTGCAAAAAGTTTCAAGTGTTGAACACCTGTGTTAATGAAAGCCGTCGACTTGTAAGTAATACCGAGGAATTATAATTTCGTTTCCGGATCGAGTAAAGCGAATGTTACTCACGAAATAAAGAGAACACAAAGCAGAAGTGCAATAATAAAGAAGAGCAGTAAATCTTGGTCTTTGAATTATTTACATCTAAGCAGCAAATCTGTAGTTAATCTTCATTCTCTCCCCCCCCCCCAAAAAAAATAGCCCCATTACATTTATAGACAAAATCTCTACAACCTAGTAGGAAAATTTACCATGAACAACTTCAGCTATAGAACAATTCTTTTGAACTAAAAGCATCCACTTCCAGACCATAATTCTTATAAAAATATCGGGTCGATTTGGCTAGATCACCAAGCCTTTTTTTAGTTTCTAAATATGGGCATTTCTACGTCTTTGTTTAACTAAAACTTTTCGGTTTTCTGCAAAGATTTAGCGCATGAGGATTTCAATTTCACTAAAACCCTTTCAGATACTGTGCACATAAGCACTGAATACATATCATAGCAGACGGTGCAAAATTTTCGACATATCAAATAGTCTCAAAATCAATGCACCGTTACGTTTTCTTGGCAGAGTAGATATAAAAGTATGAAACATGTCATTCGATAGAGCAAAGCAAGCTCACAAAATGACAGTGCACAACAGCAGAAAATTGAAAAGTTTAACATCCAGCGAACTTCCCCCTTGGTTTAAGCATAACTGTTAACATTCGTTAGTGCACTCGTTGTATTTTTTCATTTCTGAAAACTGAGATCTTGGCAATTGGGCACGTTCAGCAAAAAATATGAGGTTACTTCCGTTTGGGTGATTCTATACTAGAAAGTTTACAAGGGAAGCTTGTGTAGTCGAAGTGGCTTTTCTAAATAGGATGTACACCGTATTAAAGGGCATAAAACGTTGATCCCAAAACCGCCTTTCTTATATGCAGAACTTTTATGAACGGGGAGTCATGAGCGTTTTTTGCAGCCAAAAACTGAATGTGCATATAAAATGAGCTGCTAAAAGCTTACTAGCCCTCAAATAATGCAATCAAGAGTGGTATATTTTTTAATTTAGAGTATTTCTTAAATAAAGTGCTCTGATGATTATCAGTCACTTCGAGTGAACATGCATTCCTTGTTGGAAGTAAAACCCTGAATTTTCAGCCTTCTGCGAGCGCAGTTTCCTAGAAATCTTATATATAAAGCTGAATGTCTGTTTGTATGTCTGCCTGTCTGTATGTCTGTCTGTCTGTCTGTCTGTGTGCACGTATGTTCCGAAAAGAAAATTCCATTTCTGAACCGATCCGGACCAAACTTGGCACACATACACTTCGGGTCCCGGCGGGTGTCATAGGCTACTTTTCGTCATCGATCGATATCGATTTTATCGATTTTTTGCAAAATTTGAGCTACGGGGCTGGGAGTTGGCACAGGGGGGTAAGTGAGCATGGGGATTCCGAATACAATATTAGTTTTTAAAATCGTGCATTACTTTTATCGATTTTATCGATTTTTTGCAAAGTTTGAGCTACGGGGCTGGGATTTGGCACAGGAGGGTAATCGAGCATGCTGATTACGAATATAATAATGACAGGGCCGGGCGGAGCCGGGTAAGTCAACTAGTATCGAATATAGCACGAGAAACCCCGAAAAACCTTAACATTTTCGTATTTCTGACCTATTTTTACTTTTTAACTCTTAGCCATGGAAGAATACAACAAATGTACATGTAATGTCTGATGTACAGCATAGGTCGTTCTTAAAATTCTTTCCGTTTTTTCGGCTCACTGTAAAAAGGATTAAAGGGTGCTGAAGCTCTAAACTTATTCGACGCAGATTTTCTTCCCCTTTTTGAAAGCCATGTTTCTGACAATGAGATAATTATTTCATGGTCAATGAATTAATCGCCGAAATTTTGAATCTATGGTTCTACCACGCCAAAATCTCTCAGGTTTTGAAGTATGTATCTTTTGAAAAAGCTTTGATAAGAAATGCCTTTCAATAGAAGAGTAATCGAGGTGTGAATAAATTTTCGAATGTCAACGCTTTTCGTATCCTTCAAGATTATTCTTCCAGATGTCGTCACTTTTGAGAAATTGTGCCATACAAAAATGCATCAAACACTGGAAATTTCGTTAAAACTTTCAAAAATCGCTTTGACATAACGCTAGTTTTACGACGAAAATGAGTGTTGTCGCCATGAAATATCGAAAATTTTGAATCTTCCGGGTAAAGTCTGGGACGCGTCGAACAAGAATTGTAATAATTTTATTCGAGAAAACTTCAGGAAATGAAAAAGAAATTTACAAATCCGAAAGGAAAAACATCTGCAAGATGAGGAAGAGCTGTTTCGAATGACACACGAGCTGCTCGTCGGTTGATGTTCTATGAGGTTTGAGTTGACCAATAACGAAATTTGATGTCGTCAAGAAATAATTTCGAGAATCTTTTAAAGATAGCAAGAGATGTCTGGTGGAATGCACTGTATTGCATTTTGTTTGCTTCATTCAAATATCAGAAAAGCCCCTCCGTAAATCAATCTGAATAAAAATTTTGAAAATTTGCCAAATTTTGACACGGTAAAAACAACGGGTTTTCGAAATCTGTGCGATTATGTCAATGACACAACGGCAAATTTCCAGCTCAGAAAAATGGCGCTAAAAAGAAGAATGAAAGCCGCATCGGATAGTGTTTGATATCTTTGGCTATCTTTACTCCACGCGTTAATATGATGAAAAAAAAGCAGAAGGAATCGGAACGGCTTGATTTATGCTTGACCAACAAAGAGAAAAATGAATGTGTCTTCCATAAGTGCTAGAAACAATCAGTGTTGAGTGGTCTGCACCCACCAACTTATTATCTGCTAAGACTTTGAAGAAGGTGAGTTCGCCGAAACGTTAGTCTGTATTTTGTGCTATAAAGATCTGTACCAGTTTTGGACTACGCTTGAACAACAACCAGCAAGAAAATGAGTACTGGGATGCAAGGTGGTATATGTCGATAAGAGAAGCATTCAGTTAATAGCAAACTATATTAGCTACAAACATATGGGCCCAATAGAACCCGAATTCAATTTCGTTTAATTTGTGATATACCCTTTCTGGACAGAAAAGAGCGCGCGCTGACTGGATTTTGCTGCACATAGTTATGTTCTCGAGATTTTTCACTCGAAATTTAATTACTTTCAGACTTAAATTTCTCAGTTGTATGAAGTTCCACATTCATTATGCACGCTAAAGGACGCTGCACGTATATAATAAACACCAAATGTTCGGAAAGCAAATACTGAATATTATGAGATAAAAAAGGGAAATATTGTCATTCAGTCTTACGCTCGTAAACCGTACCATCATACTTACAAAAGATTTCCGAATGCTTACAGCGAAGGCTGCATTTTATATGTGAAGTCGACTACTGCAACAAAAAAGAAAACGCCTGAAGTTAGCTGATTTTTCTAGAATTTACTGAGCCGAAAGTCGTCTATTACACAAAAACTCAATCGCGCTGCTCGTACAAAAACTATTTATTATTATTTTTATTATTATTTTACCATTATTTTTAGGTTGAAAAAAAAAACAGATACACACCAAGATAAATGGAGAGGTAGCTAGCACATAGCTTAATACCAGTTTGTACAGAACATTCCGTTACAGCTTTTCCTAAAGAGATTCATACTCATTTTGAGGATGAGCAGGGGATAAATACAGTCATAATAATCTTTTGAGTAATAAATTGTGCTTGAATCGCTCATCCTTGTGATTCTGAGATGTCTACCAAGCCTGTCAGAAACCAGTTCGTTTTGCTTGTAAATCTATACTTCGCAACAAAAGATACCATAGAATTCATTGTTTTTAAACTTCTGAATCAAAACGCGTCTGTTAAAAGCTGCCCACTTGAAAATTGCAAGAATAGAAACATTTCTAGCCTCGGCCTCCGTTTTGCTGAGCATAAGTTTTCCTAGATCTATGAAAAGAATTATCATTCTCATTTTTTGAGCAAATCTTGTCTGCATAATCCAAATGCGTCTAGAAGGGGACTGAAGTAAAATTTTCATATTTAAACAAAATATAGGTCAGATCCCACAGTTAGAATAAAAAAAACGAACTTTTATTGAGCTCTCAAACACTTGTGATTCAGTGAATTTTAACAATGGTAAACAAAGTAAAGAGCTTTTACACGCAAAAAGCTACAAGAATAGCTGGTATTACGAACTGTAAGAAATACAGCACGGGTTGCTTTAAATCATGCACAAAGATGTCAACAACATGAGGCAAAAGAAGTGTCATGAATATCCTGAATCAAAAAATGCTTTTCATATTTATTGAAAAATTTCAAAAAAGGAATTGCATGTAGAAGCAGAATCTGGAAATCACGAACTATACTTGTTCTATCGATGGTCTATAAAAGCTCCATTCAAACGAACACCGGTGTGGCGATCCGTTAAATGCATTAGGAGGAGGGTCATTTTGATCATTTCCATGAGTATTCTCTTCTGAACTGTCACTTTTCATCTATCTCTGTTTCAAATTCATTTCCAATTTGCTGTAGACATGTGTAAAGGGGTGTCGAATGGATATTTTTTTATGTGAAAAATCCTAATCGATCTTAGAATCCTCGGATGTGGCAGCCTGCAACGTGGACTAAGTGGAGATCTAAACTCAAGATATCTACGCAAAGTTCTCGTCGACTGTAAAAATTCAGCAGAGCAAGTCGAGAGGGATCAACGCAAACGAGTGAATACAATGTTGAGTGTTCGACCTACATAGTTTTGATTTAATGGCAGAGTATGAAAATACTAGCGTGTGTTTCCGTCCAGCAGGAAGATACCAGTCAAACTTAATCGCTTTTTTCCTGCACCAACCCATGGGATGATATATTACAATCTTTTTTGGCCGCAGATCGAAACCTCTGCAGATGTTACAACATCGATTTGCCACAATATCATCGATAAAACAACTTAGCTTGCACTTTTGGCTTTGTGCGGTTTGTTCAGCATGCATTTACAGAGAAGCAGGCTGGTAAAGTGCCTTATCCCACAAAGAACTTTGAGCTCAAAATGACTGAAATCACTGAAAGAAAAATTTATGGCTGACTTTCACCAACAAGAAAATAGAGCGAAACTGAGGTTAAAACTCAAATTTTTGCTTGCGCTTTCACCAAGGTGTCAATTTGAATGATAACCTACACTCCTTACAAAAGTTTTGCAAATCATTCTCAAAGTCTTTGGTGTGAGTTTGTCCATTTTTCACAAAATAAGTATCATTTTGGATACACATCCAGAATCACAGTTAGCGGAGGTAAATCAGAATTTTCAGGACCTCTTTGAAATTGCAAAAAAGTCCAAAGATAGCGTTTGCTAATATCAACTCCCTTTCTAACCCACTCCAGCTTTATTGTGGACGATTTCAACGCGATTTCCCGCGTTTTTTCATTGCAAGTGGGAAGTGGGTGGGGTTACCTTAGCAGGCGGTGCTATCCCAACTTGAAGCAATTTTCAAGAGGCATGCTTTAGCCTGTAACGTCTATCAGAACAATGCAACAAAAGTTTCAAACGTCGAAAAATGCAGGGCAGAAATTGCCGAAAAAATTTACTATAGATTTATTGTCATGATAAGCTGTTTTTGTCGGTTTTTTTCATTGCGTGAAAACACATAATTCTCAAAAATCATTTTCGTTTCTACACACTGCTCAAGAACCCGACGAAAGCAATATGACGTTTTTTCTCACAACTTCTGATGTCGGGCACCAGCTGTTTCCTGGCTCAAGACCGGCGCAAGATTGATTGTGATTTCATATAGCCATAAGACGTCACTCACTGCTTTGATCGAGCTGAGAGCTGGATCTAAGCGCCTTCTACGTCGTACGTATGTACGTATATAGTAAACATCGCTCTTCTTTGCGCAGTGATTCAAATCTGTGTCAATGGCGTCGGTCACATTGTAAACACACGCATTCTTGACCAGCATGAGAAGCCTGCTAAAGCTAGATGAGGTGGCGACGTAAAGTTGCAGAAAACATACAGGTATCTCCAAATGAGAAGAATTTGGGCTGTATTCTACAAAAGCGGAGTGATGTATGGGTGAAGATTTTGCGTAAAATTTTACAGAAATAGGAAAAAGTCTGCAATTAAGAGAAAGATATAGAAGCTTACAAATAAGCGTAGGCAGAATAAGATCTAAAGATCTGTCCAAACAGTAGAATGACTTGTGAGACAACCATTATGCCACTACTCAAACAGATGTGTCATCTTTGTTTTGAAGAATAGTACATGGAGGAAATGACTCAGATGGCTACAAAGTCCGGTTTATGTGCGATTATGCTCTCAAAAGTACAGTTGGCAGAATGGGCCAGACCTCAGAGGTTATGTAATAGAAAAGCTTGACCTATAATTATTATAGCTGAGTCACGCATTTGAACACAAAGGCATCTCCGCCTTGACTTTAAATTATTTCCAACTCGTCTCTTCCTTCTGCTAATCGTATGACAGCTGTTTCATTTTTTCGTAATATTCATTACTTGAGGGCTAATGAGTTAAGTGCTCGGCAATTTTTACCCAGATTACTGCATTGGCAATCCAAAATGCAAATTGATCTGTTTCCTTATGCATTGTTAAAACCGCTACTATACAAGTGTACAACTTCTGGTAGGTTGCAAAATAAATTGTACATAACAAGACAAATAGCAGTCTCTAGACAAAATTTTATCGTGACCTGGTTCACAACACAGCGAAAATGTTTAATCTTGATGGAAAATACTGTAGGAAGAAATGAAATTGGAAGCATGTCCCAGTAAGTGAACGTGCATATCACTGAGAAAGAAAATGAAAAAAAATTAGACCCCTAGCCCACGAAACTTCGCTAGAGTGCTGATCACTCAAATAATAAAAAATCCAAATTTTACTAAAAAGTAAAGGTATCTAAATATCTGCGCTGCAAGCCAAACCAACTGTAGAAAGTCAAGCATGCAAGAGTTGAAAGAATAAAAAAGGTTCTAGTGGTATCAGAGCTATAATTTGAAGATAGTAGGGATCCCCAACTCCAAGCAACGTGTCTGATTATAGGATTGAGGAAAGAAAGCTATCCAGTATCTCAAAAATCCGCAGAAAAATCTAGAGCATCTTGCTATTACCTTCTAAAGAGTGAAATTACTTAAAGTAGCACGTGAAAAAAGATCAATTTTAGAAGTTCCAAACCGCAGGAAATGAAGTACAGCTGAACGCAGACAGAACGGGTAAAACAATCCTGAGGGCAATTCGGAAACACGTGTGGAATAAGCAGCGAACAGCTGACACCTGGTGCTGAGGATAAATCAAGTTTCTTCAACAAACATCAGCGTTCCTACGCCTAATCGTGAATGGGTCAGCACGATGAGAAGCCGACTCAAGCCAGGAACGCTGGAAGAGTAGCCAGCGGGCTGGCTCTCTCAGCGTATGTGTTTTGTTGCTCGTAAGCTGCAGAGTTTCGTTGTTTAGACTGGCACGACAACAGCTGATGTGCGAATGGAGCAAGTGCATTCGTTCGTCAAGCATCATGACATAAATGGCTTGAATCTCCGAGGATGTCGTGAGAGCTGACAGTTGGCGATAGGTTTATTGCTGCAGTTTTCGCGATTTTAAAGGCGCCATCCATCCAAAGTGGTGATGGTTGTTGTGCACCACAACAGCGAAGCCCGTAACTAAGTAACTGCCTAAGTTCCACTGCAAAAGCTGTGTCACAAAGCAAGAAATTCGCTCAGAAGGTAAATGCTGCTGGGGTTGCCACGCCTATCAACGTGGGTAATTCATAAGTGATGGTCTTGAAACTGGACGTACATAAAGTCGTAACTTCTTTTCACAAAAAATGGCGTAACTTCGACAAATTACATACTAGATGCTAGCGATTCTAGTTTCGAGCTCACTTTAGACAACTCGCGTAGATGGGCGTGGCGTACCCAGTAGCATCCGCGTTTTAGATTTTTTTGCTCCGGAATATAACTTTTGCAACAAGACTTGGATAGTTACTTGTTAGGGTCCTCGCTATTGTAGTGCAGCAAAACATCACCAGTTTTGGACTTGGGTGGATGTGTCTGTGATCGTATCGCCCGTAGAGCGCGGAAACTACCGCCTAAACATTTTGGCCGACTTTGCATTTTTCTTCCAGTTACAGCTGTAAGACTTGTTGACATTGAAAGCAGAAAAAAGTGGAATTTTTCTAGATACTCACTCTTTTCAATGTGTTACACTATCTAGGGGAAGTTTTCGCGCTCCACGGATAACAGGAATCAAAGGAGAATCACAGGTATCAAGACGGCCGAATTCTGATATTGTGCTAGTGTGTGTGATGTGTGGCGTACGTCTGACTCAATCACCATTCACAGCTCATCGCACCCCTCATCCCCCCCCCTCCCTCTTGCTGTACGGTATTTGCCCATCGTCGTGCTCCTAACTCATGTTGTCCAAGAATTTTATTACTTCGTTGACGAAAACATGTGATCCAACAAGGGAATTGTGTATTGATGGTGAAGAGCCAGTTTTGTGAGCACCGTCTGGAAAGCCAGCACAGACAGTCGCAGCTGAAATACGGTGTTGGAGCATTGAAAGTGTGTTCTGGAAATGAAGAACTGACCGTTTTGAAGACGACGAAGTATACAGCCACCGTTGGAAGCAAAAACAACAGTATGGTGAAGAGCAGTGTGGTTATGAACTGCTGCCTCGTGTCCAAACGAACCTGAACCAAAGCTAATTACACTTATAAAATATTAGGTTGGCTCGTAATTAGTTTTGGTCATCCTTGAAGGTTTGCATTTTTTTATGATAGAAGAGCGGGAAGATGAATTGAACATATGCAAGAATTAACGATGAATTTGATAGATCAACGGATTTACAAGTGCAAATGGTATACAGGCCAATTATAAAATCGTGACGATAACGGCTATTGCGTGCGTCGCGTACCATGTCACTTCAAGCAACCGCATTTTCTCCGCATCGTGTAAATTCGAATCGTTTTTTTTTTGCATGCATATAATAGCTTTCAAACACGCAAAGGACTGAGCTTTGAGTAATTCATGCTGTTGTGACATTGATGCGGGATAAGACCGCAAATGAACTTGTCGTCACAATTTTATGAAGACTAAAAAAAAATTTGGTACATCCCCATTTACAGAGGCCTAGATGTCATTCAAGCAATCTGAGCTGCCCAAAGATTGACTTTTGCGCGTAAATGTTAGAAGGCATACACATTTTTGACTAAGGAAATTCGAATAGGGAACTTCTATGTCGCCGATAGGCTCAACACGCGCGGACAGCTGGTACAAATCTGCAGGTCTGCAATACGCGCGGCTGCATGGTTCGTTGCAGATGTCCGAATCGGACCACCTCTTTTCGGTGGAATAAGTCGTCTATCCCAAAATTGCAAATTGCAAATCAAAATTTTTATGGTAATTCGCCCATATAATATTTGGGATTAGAGGTTTAAACCGTTTTCTCGATATTTGAGAAATTGCTAATTTTCTATGACTTGTTGATTCTCCCCCAAAATCATTCAGAAGAATTCCAGATTCAAAGCCGTATTTCTGATGTGCTCTTAGGCTCGAGTAGAACCGCTGATTAAATTAGAGCAGTCGGCATCCGATTATGCTCCGCAGAAATTCTGTAACAGAATCCTCTACCACCGCAAGCTAATTTTGTGGCGATTTTCTGCCATTTTGAGCTTTGAGCGATCTTTTTTATATCTTTAATTAGTATACAAGATCCCAAATTCTGAGGCTTATCAACTTTGAAGGAACTAGTTCTCTAAAAAAAAAACTCGCGATTGTCCAAGAGATGATAGCACTGCATTATATAATACTTCCAACGAAAGTTAGGGGCTAAGATGAAAATCGTGTCACCAATCTAATCAACAACTTGGAGAAAGGTTCTGAGTGTTTGGGATAAGATTTAAAGACTGAAAATAGAATGACAAAGTAGCCACAGTCCGCATACCGAATCTGTTCGGCATCGCAACGGATTCCATTTTCGACCTCGGAAAACTCGCCATAAAGATACTAAACTTGACCATGAAACTTTCGCCAGCCTGAAATACTCAGAATGATTCTCAAGCACGCCCAGCACAATTTGTAATAAAAAAAATGCAAGAAAAGAAGACATTAAACACAAATCAAGCAAGATATTTATTTAATTAACGAACGACTACAATCGAGCAACCGAGCAACCGACTGCAAGAGATCTTCAAGAAAAAAAGTTTAAGAACCATTAAAATCAATGATGAGATTTAATTGCAATGTCTTAAGGTAGAAGAGAAGTCATGGGCAGAAGAGGACGTGGGGGAAGGGGGAGGGTAGGGTCTATCGCGATCTGTGCACGCGAATTAGCAGTCCGCAGTAACCGATGGCGTAGAAGCCGATGATGAACGCCACCATCAGCAGCTGGTCCAGCACGAAACGATCTGCTTTGAATGAGAACATCGACAGCACCTCATCACGTCGCTGAAAATCATAGAAGTTAATGAATCTGAAAAAAAATTGGCAAATTCAAATGCTTTTCACTGCTTTTCAATGCTTAATTACAGATTGTTTACTAAATGATTGATGTTGGTAAGAAGTGAACCCCTGTGAATCAGTTAAGAAACCATCTCATTTGCAAGGGTTCACGGAAAATTGAAAGGAAATTTTGAGAGGAAATTCGAAGCAGTGCGAACCACAGATACCCAGGCTGTCGAGTGGATTGAAGCGAAAACTTCCGGCTACTTTCCGGGCAAGATCTGTCAAGTGGACTTTTGCATATGGAAATATGTGAAGGGAGTGAAATTCAGTGAACCTGAGTGAAGGGAGTCCAATCAAAAAACCGTAGGCAGCGAGTAAACAATGAACCTTCTCCTTTAAGCCAAACAAATTTACTTGTTAAGAAATTTTAGTGGGAGAGTGGGAGATTCACGCTAATTTTTAATACAACTGGAGGTCACTAAAGTAATGAATTAGAAGTCGGGATAAGTGGAGCAAACCTTTTATGACACTGCTTTCACATTTTTATTCAAGGTTTCTTTACTCTTTTATAATGATTTAATCAAAAAACCTCGATTGTCTGAATGCTCAATCAAAAGTGCAATTTTGTGGAAAGCTTGAAATTTCAGTAGTTTAATCAGACAATTTTCAGTAACATCTCTTTCAAACTGCCACTTGTTGTTGTTCGTCTGATTTTCAGAATGGGGAAACCCTTAGAACAACTCAATAAAATCTCTTTTTCAGCTTTTCTTTTTCCAAAAACTTTATCAACAACGCCTTCAACTCACCTCCTTATCCCAAACAGTGGAATTCAAACCATTAACTTCCTCCCACTGATTAATAGCCAAAGCTTCGAAACCATATCTGTAGTAGCAAACCTTGATTTAGGTCATTTTTAGGAAACTTGCATACCTAAACCAACTAAGGTACTGGATCCATGATACATACGGCGGAAGCGAGCCAATGTTTGCATAAAGACCACCAGTAAGTGATAACAGGGTGAGAAGAGGACCAGCTAATGAGGCTGCTACCTATGTTAGAAAAACTTTCGGTAGAATTTCGTAAGACATGCGAATTTGTCAAAACGGTGCAAAAATTCTGACTGATATTCAGTTCAAGGCTGAACTCAAATTCATATCTCCAACCGTGGAGTCTAAGAACACATAGATGCTGGAAATCGAGAAAAACGAAAGCAAGTTTTTCAAAGTTTTTGCTTTCTGCGCTTTATCAGCCATCTCAACGACGCTAGAGACTATGACTGCATGGCGCAATGGTAGCGCGTTCGACTCCAGATCGAAAGGTTGGGCGTTCGATCCGCTCTGTGGTCAGAATTTTTGCACCTGCCAAAACTACAAAATATTGACACAACGGACCGGATATGAAGGTGAAATGCATGCCAACATAACTCCAAATGCAGATGATGAGAGTTCAATGAGAAAAGCGATTAGTGACGCAAAAGCGACCTAAATCATTGTTCAAAACGATTTTGATGCGCATAACTGACTTTGACACATAACCAGCCCACCTGAGTGACTGAACTGGAAAATCCAACCAGCCAGTAACAAACGTAGAGCATTAACAATCCGTCGATGCTAAAGAGTGGAATGTACGAAAGCACCCGCGCCAAAAAGTAGCTGAAATGAGAAGATAAAGTTCCACTTGTCAAAAGTTAGATTTCTTCTTGAAAGACCAAAACTGACCTAAACACGTAGTAGATGCCATCATGATATTCCCGAACAAGAAGAGGATAATCACCAGGTAAGCAGGTGAGAATACCGAATAATGTAGAGTACGTTAACTCGCAGACAATGTAGAAAAGAGCACCGTTCAGATTGCTGATTCCAACCCGCGTTAGAGGTGTCTACAAATGCAAGGTAGCAAAATATCTGCACCGACACAAAATCTTTTTCCTCGTAAAAAGGTAAGAGCAGGAAAGTGGAACAAAGCAACATTCTACGCATAAAGATTCCGCTAGACCAGTTCTCCTTTTTTGATGCCTCGCGTTTGCAACTCTTTCTCAGACAAAGTCGATTTTCCAATTTTATTTACTTCAACGACTGCAATAAAACGAGCGATTGCAGGATCGAGGCTCTAAGCTATAACAGACAATAAGAAAGGGGGAATGATGAACTTTAAGAGACCTGAGATACTTCGCCGAAAAAGCCCAAAAAAGCCCGAAAGGGCCGAAACGCCCCTTCCGTTTTGAAGCTAAAGCATGTGTGTTGTTTCGCAACCGAGCCTTTTTGCTTCATTTTCTGTCGTCTGCACATCAAAATAATAGAATTCTACCAAAAGTTCGTTTCTGCGTTCCTGCTCTTTCGGGCTGTTTCGGGCTTTTTCCAGCTTTTTTGGGCTTTTTGGGCTTTTCCGGGCTTCTTCGGGCCTTTCTGGGCTTTTTTCGGCGAAGTAAGACGGGTCCCTAAGACGCGCCGAAGATGTGACGTGAGACCTAGCCAATTTTACCTTCAAGATAAATTCTGAAGAGTCTCAAAGAAGTTAGAGAGTACTCAAAATTTCTTATCTAATAATACAATTCGTATTGAATGAATTTTATTCCAGTATTAAGTGGTGCAAGAGAATGAGATGCACACACTCGCTTAGACGAAGAGGTCAGAATTATTAGGTCCAAGGTAGTAAAATCTGATGACAGATATTGAATCCCATGCACGAAAATCCATGAAAATGTGAAGATCGCATTGAAACTGTCAGTTTCAGCTGGCACAACGGGTGATCACCAAAACCTTGTGCAATTCTCAATCAAACTTGAAGTCACACAAAATGAAAAACTCAGAGCTGCAAATTAGAGCATTATGCCGTGAGTTTGACAAATTCAATACTAGTACTGGAAGTATATCAATTCATTCTGTGTGTCAGGTGGAAATAAGCGCTCCGCTCCACAGAGAAAAGAAAAAGCCAGTAAGCAGATACCGATATAAGATGACAACTTACTCTGAGATACAGTAAACCGATAAATAGGCCCATAACGAATTTTTGAAGCAATTTCGCTCTAGCTAACGAAGGATTGCGTAGATTGTCAAGGGAGTACCTAGATTATGATTTACATAGTGCAAATATATTGAAAAAAGTGAGCCTATTCCTACCTACGAAGAAGCGCACCAACTTGCGTGAGAAAGCCAGCTCTTCTACGTCCGCTTGGAACTTCAGTGACAGGGATTTTAGACACCTCGTCGACTACTGCGCGACCTTGGCTGCTGAATTAAGCCACATCGAACAAATCTTACAACTTAGTCAGATGCCTTGCTCTCGCTCACCTATTCTCATAAGCATCGCAGATTCGAGTAATGCGAGTTCGGCAGGCTTCTTCCTCGTGAGGAACTACGGCAAGGGTGTGAATGATCAAGTCGGCTGGATTGTAATTGTGCGGACAGGGTGATCCACAGCTTTCAAAAAATTGAATGCAGTCCCGAGGAGAACCGAGAAAAGCAGTGCGACCACCTGCTAAAAATGTGGACTTTCTTTAGCGCACATTTTTGCAAATGCAAAATGTCTACCAACTTACCCAGAAACATGACTTTGTCAAACATTAAGTATAATTGAGAAGCTGGTTGATGGATGGTACAGACCACGGTTCTGCAAAGGAAAGCTTAGCTCAGAAATCGGTTAGCTTTACCTCAGAAGAGGCCCAGACCTTCCATTCTTGGCCAGTTTTGATAGCACCTGCACAACATTCTCTGCCATGAAAGAGTCAAGACCAGTGGTTGGTTCGTCGCAAAATAGAAGCGCTGGATTGGAAAGCATCTCACAGGCAAAAGTTAAGCGTCGCGCTTCTCCGCCTATAATATTCCCTATAGTGCTCATCCCTTTTCAATCTATGACTTAATAATAACGGGCTAAGGGTTGTTTACGTCTGTTTGTCTGTCTGTCTGTGTGTACGTCTGTCTGTCACGAAATTCATAGAACGTGTTCCAGCCAACCTCCTGAGCCCAAATTTTGCACAGCGCCTGCCACCAACATGAGAGTCTACTATACAAAAGCACGAGTGGATCCATTCTGTGGATCCCTCAAAAAATGCGCGTCAACCGGATCCACTTGGCTTTTGACCAGTAAAATTGAGTCTGTAGCGCAACTTTTTGCAAATTCACGGATATTTTTGACAAGCTAACGCGCAAACCATGATCTTTAGCCTAAAAAATTGAACTAAAGTTTATTACTTTGCGAAAACGGCACCAAAAAGAATTGGTTGCGTAAATGTTCAATTTGCCAAGATTTTACCCGATCGTTTGAGAAGATTTTTGCACCGATATGTAGCCCACGGTGATTATGGCATCTTATCGCGAATATCAAGCCATAGAAAGTCCAAAAACCAGTTCAAATTTGCATTTGTTCTTTCGAGAAACGTTTCGTTCATGCGAAATTACCGATCTCATATGGAAAAACTTTTAGAATGAATGTTGTTTACAAACCATTCGTGATAGTCCGCATAGGGCGGTGAGTTCCAATGTCATTATTGTGCGAGAATGAGTAAGGCATACAAATAGTAGGGCCAGTGCGAGCCTCTGCGAAGCAGAGGTGAAGCACTGGTAAATCATAAGCGTGTGAGAAAAATTTTCGA